GAGGTAGCACATGTCGGGCCATGTTATAAAACATAAGTTTCTTAGGAAACTTACGTTTTGAAAAGAACTTGGTGAGATTGAATATATGTGTAAGACATAGAACCCGATCGCAGATAGTGAAATTAAGAATAAACGCTTTAAACTGATTAACAATAAAAGCCTATGTACTTGTTTACTATCAAAATTCCATAGTTATAGAATTATTTAAATGCATTATCCTATTCATTTACTTAGTGAATTGTAAATTTATATCGAAGGCACTTCAATACTTACAGTTTTAAATATGTTCGTTTTTGCATATGTGCATGATCCATAAATCCACAATTTCCCCAACAAAAGCTAAGATACAAATTACCACGCAAATACCACAAACATAGAAACCCGTTATAATCTTGGAGTCAAAATCTAATTTTGAAACAGCCTTTACAGTGTGTCCACTTAAAAACGAGTCCACTTTTGGGGGGGTAATAAAAGTGATTTTATTTGTACTAAAATTTTTTTTAACATAAATCCTTTTGGTATACAATACCTTAGTATTTAGTGATGCCTCCACACGCAATTTGCATATCTCTAATTCGTTTAGGGAAACTCTGCGTCAGATTTTCCAAAACGGTAACCGAAATTTCCTTCCATTTTTTTTGGAAGCGTCGAATTAAAGAAGAACGGGTTCGTGGAATTGGCTGCTCATACGCGCTATTCTTGAGATAGGGCCACAGATTCTCGATTGGGTTCAAGTCCGGGCTATTTAGTATTTACAATCTATTGAGCAAATTAAGCAAGCGAATAATTTGTATTATTTGCCAATGCAATATTTCTGACAAGGCGGAGTGAAACAAGAATGCAATCTACAGAAGAAGACGAGGTTATCGAGAAATTTGAGAATATGGGGCCTGTCCAAATTCCGGCTTGGACAAAGGCCCTCATGAATCCACTGGTAATTGCAAATTACAAATTATTCAATTGTCAAATTGACTCTGAGAACTTTCTAGTGAGTAAATTCCTTTTGCGTATAAGGGTCATCTATGAATTATATCGGGTGTAATTAAACCATCCAAGAAAAATATGTTTTTTTCCAAAGAAAATTAACATTTTGTTCCAATTATAGATTTTGCAATTAATTATTTTTTATTCCAAGATTTTTAGAACGAATTCCAAACAAATAAAAATAAACCGTTGTAACGTTAGAAATAGCTCGCCCTGAAACACTATTTGCGTATAACTTCGCACCGAAGGTGCAAGATAATCGGACAAATTATATGCATAATTTTGACACAATTTTGCACCAACGGTGCACAACAATCGCCGCAAATAAATGCATTATTTTTATGCATATAATTTGGCACCAATGGTGGAAAATAAGCGGACAAAATAGACCCATAAATTTGACATAATTTCGACCCCTCTGGTGCGAACCCATTCCTACTGGTTGTTCTGCACTTTTGGTGCGTATGGCATCAATTCCCCCAATTGCTTAGGACCATTTTGTGTCGTCGCTTGTTCATTACGAATGGGGCCATTAATATCCTAAAAACTGGACATGGCCCTATTTAATTAGTATCAATTGATGCAAAAAACTAATTAACAGACAGACGGACAGACGGACAGACGGACAGGAGGAATTCAATAGCTCTCATGCTACGCAGGACGAGCTAATAATAAAAATCTCAATGCATAAAATACGAGATTTACAATATATATCGTAGATAATTGAAATTAAATTTCAAGTAAATATTTATCAATGACCAAAGCCTTTTCAACTAACTTCTTCCTCCCACGTTTAGATTTTACTCCTACCCTATCTACACTAACTATCACTATCACTACATAAAATTTTACTATTTCATTGGAATGTTTTATATTTTCTTTGGAGAAAAAAATTAACCGGATTGCAGATTTCATGATTGCAGAAAATTATTAATTTTCTTTGGAACGAAATATTATTTTCTTGGGCACAATAAATTTGACCCAACTATATCACGTATAAATTGCGATTTTCTGGACCACCTCTCCACCCTGCGACTTGTGTCCCATTTTAACATATGTACATATGTACATAGTTACGACCTCATTGGAGCCCTAGACGCCCCCCGTCCCTGTCAAGTGACAAAATTTAAGAACCTTAGAAGTATCCTTAGTTGAATATATGACACAATTTGACTTCGACAGTTTTTGGTGAATTTATTGAAAAGCAAGTTTGAGTAAAGTTGTGTGTAACAATTTGAATTTAATGTTTCAGTCAATGATTTTAGCACGTTGCAGCACCTTCGAATTAACAATTTAAATACACATATAGATATGTATTGCCTTAATACAGGAAAGTATTTATTTAGCACATGTAGCACTGATGAATTTTTAGCGCTGCTAATTGCTTTGACTTTTGAAAGCGTGTGGGTCTTGACGGATTGTTTGATTGGATTCTGCGGGTTGATGCACATTTCAAAATCACGTTTATTCACTAAAAATTAATTGACGGGCTTTGTTTGTTCAGATTCTGGGAAATATTTTCTCCCATCTGAATTTCACCGCTTTGAAGAACTCCGTCCGACTCGTCTGCACCGTTTGGGCCGACCTCAGCGCTACGTTCCTCGGGAGGTCAAGCTGCCTTAACGTGTCCAAAATCCCAAAGGACATGACCTCCTTCAACCCCAGACTGGCCAATAGCATTTCCCTCGTGATGGAATCGGATTATCAGATACCCGATGCCTTACCTCGCTTCCTAAATAGGGCAACCACCTCCGACAACGACTCACCCGTCGTGATGCCTGCAATATCAGAATTTTTGACCAAACTTAACGTGCACATTCACATACAAAATATACCCAAACGGGGAGAAATATGGAGCACGTTCAAATTCCGGAACCGATTATCCATCCTGGTTGATAAATGGGGGAATGACGAAATCCCGCAATTTCGACCATTGCCAAATCTTAAGGTGGTCACCTTTACCATTTATAACTTAAACGCATCTGTCGATGAGATGGAGGTGGATGGTGCAACGTTTTTCCAAAGGATGCTTAACTCTGCCCCCAACCTAGAAGAAATTAAGATAAGCGATTTCACGCGTGAATTAGCACGTTTAGCGTGAATTAGCACGTTTTCATTTAACGCACGTTCCGAAACGAAACTTCACTTCATTTTCATCTAACGCACGTTTTCATCATGTTGCAAGCAGATTTGGCAAACAAGAAGGCATTATTTTTAGGCACTCAAATTCCCTACAAATTGCGCCGTCAACCAGCGAAAACGCTTGAGAACTGGCATAGCTGTGAGTTAAACCTTGCGGGCAATGTCGTTATTAAGGAACCTTGTATGGTCCATTATTTCAATTTGTAAGTTCAATTACGTCCAATTCATGTTACTAGGATAGCACAGACCTACGTTGTCGACTAGATGACCATGCCTGGGAGGTTGTCTTTCCTACAGATCCAAAGAAAATGGCATTTATTGGGCAAAATATTGCAAAATTTGGAAATTTTAATTTTTTTAGCAACTCTCATGAGCTGTAGGGTTGCGATCGCTCATGATATAGACGCCTAATTTGGTGTCCATGATTCCCGGGAACTCAGATCTGATGGATAAATTAAGATAGAGGAGAAAAGACAAAATTTTCGAATTTTGCCAAAGTTCATAGGTTTGACCTTTGATCAGAAAAAATTTAACATGTGATTTCCCATAAGGAATTGGCCAAAAATGACGAAAAATGGCAAAATTCTCACCACCCGCGGGAAGGCTCATATTTTGCACATATATTGGTACCCACTAACCCTTGTTTTTCAGTAGAAAAAAGTTTCAACTTTTGCTTTGATATGCCTAGAAATTGGCAAAAATGTCAGTTTTTGGCAAATTTGGAGCACATGCCAAACGTTTTTGATGGGTCACACCGACCCGAATCACCTATTTTTTGGGTCTACATAATATTCCAGACAGAAATTGGCACATTTCAATACTTTAATTTTTCACCCTCAAAAGTCCTAAGGGGTACCCCTTAGATGTTTGAAACCTTGAAAAAATTGTTGTCGAATTTCGCGGGCAAATGGTGACCAAAATTTGCCTATGGTATCCAGAAGTTGTCTCCAGAGAAATGAGCCAGATGCAGTGCGACCCCGAGCTGGGGGTCATTTGTTTGTCTTTACAAATTTTCCAAAATTTCAACGTTTTGTACAAAGACCGAATCCCGGGCGATCCGTTCAAACGTGATTTTTTTATGTGCCCACATACCTAAGGAATTATTCCAGGAACGGGCTGTCCGAATTTAAAGAATCTGTTGAAACCCCAGGGGTCAAATTAAACTCAATGGGCGTCATCGTTTCTCCCCGATTAAGATTTCTGCCCAGATTTTACACCCTGGAAAAAGCTCAAGATTTTAATGTACGATAGAATCTGGACGCCCAGCAGTAGTGAGGACATAGATCGGATATTTTGCGTACTCCGGCCTCCGCGTACTCCGGCCTCCGGCCGGCCATGCGTACTCCAGCCTCCGCGTACTCCGGCCTCCGGCTGGCCACGCGTACTCCGGCCTCCGCGTACTCCGGCCTCCAGAAAAAGTCGCGTACTCCGGCCTCCGGAGGCCGGAGTACGTACTCCAAGCCCGGAGGACTCCGATCTATGAGTGAGGACCCTTTCGCAATTTCCCGAATGCTGGCCACCTGCCCAGGTTTAGTTAAATTGACGTTGCGTGGTCTCTATTTTGCTAACAACCTCACACAGGTGTGTCCACATATTTACATTAATCATATGTACCACGTGGTGTTGATTAATTTATAACGAAGCGCTAAATTTTAATTTCTTATTTAAATATGTAGATGTCGAATTATTTCGCTCCAAACCTAACCCACCTTGAGATGCATAGAAGCGATGTGAACATGATTTTTGACTGTTTGGATGTTGTCCATCTGCCAAAATTGTCCCACTTCAAGATTCCGGGCCATTTTGAGGATCATATTTGGAAAATGTTTCAAAATTGTCACCGGTCTCATGAAGGGATAACTTCGCTGAAGATAATGCCCCTGCACTCGGATGTCAGGGATGTGCAAGCTATCGCCAATATCGTGAAATGCTTCCCATCCGTGACTGAGTTTGAAATGATATTGAAATGTCTTACCAATAATTTCGAACTGTTAAGAGAAATGTTAAACTCTTTTCGTGATTGGAGGTTGGCGAAGGGTAAGATCGTAATTTACGGGGTTGTGTGTTTGGATGCTTTGACGGCTGTGCTGGAAGGGCTGGCGGGTTGGCGAGGTACTGTTTTTTTCTAAAAACCAATTTAAAATTAAGAACAAATTGCCGAACTCCATTTTAATAGGTTTGCAAAATACGGTCCTTCATTTTAAGGGGGGCTTCAAGCTCGTCTTATCCGACCGAGTGCGAGATGCATTCATTTTATGCGGATCCATTCGACATATTGACATGTGTGAGATTCAAGTGGGTTGTTGAATATTTTGAAGTATATTTCTTGTACCAGGGGTTTTTATTAAATTAGCATTTGTGTTATTAATTAAGATGGATGAGGAGACTCGGAACAGTTTTGGGACATTTGTTGAACAGAAGAGTTTATCAATTTCGTTCACTAGACCCCCTCTTGATGATGGATTTAGCAGGTTCATAAGGGTTCTCAAGGAATTGTGGAAAATCCCCTCCCCCCAATAGTCGCCCCTCAATGGCCTCCCAGTAATAGCCTCCGACCAATAGCCTCCTGAGGAAATTGACCTCCCAGGCCAATCGCCTCCCACCCAATATCCTTCCATGATAAATACACCATTGTTTTTAATACTTAACTTCTCCAAATTTTAATTTTGTCATCATCACTATTTAGTCATCAGCGAGAGAGTGTTACTCATCAATATGTATTCATAGTTTTACCTTACGCATGCAAAAGAGTTTTAAAATCGAAAAAAAATTAAAAGAATAAAAATCGCCAGTTTCTTTTCTTTATTCTGATCACTAATGTGTAAAAGCACACGTGCATATGTATTTGTATTTACCATCATCCAATAATCTTTGCGATTTGAATTCCCTAATTCTACTACAAGTGTTACGATCCTGACAGGATTATATTAAATATATAAAGTATTATCTGTAGTAAAAATACATACAAATTCTCGACACGGATTCCTCCATAATTTTATTTAAGTTTAGCATTATGAAAAATCTTGAAACACGTTTAATTTTTTATCTAAGAACTATTTAATTATCGTTATTTCGTCGCAATCAGAGAGAAACCGCTGGCGTCATCGCAATGTTGGAAAGGTTTTCTCATTTCAGCATAAATATTCGCATATGCATGTATTTAACTACGGTTTGACGTTTGTACGTTTCGACGGCATGACCATATTGGAGATGTACGTACGTATGTAATTATATAGATTCACTCTGTCTCACATTTTTGTTTTACGCGAAGTTTACCGTGATAAGGGTATTATTTGGTTATCAGAACTGATAAGCGATTCGGAATAAATTTATTGGGCATGACACGTATGTATACACTCAGGCTTACTTTGTTCATTGCAAAACGTACTTTAGTTGGTATGAAATTTTTATCACAGCCGAGTCACGTACTTATTTGCATACACTCTATTGGGAAATTTATAAGCACAAAATTTGTAAATATTAATCTTGAATTTAAACGTTACTCACTACGCGGTGTGAGACAAACACAATGCACTCTACAGAAGAAGACGACGTTGTCGGGCAAATGGGGAACATTGACCTTGTCGAAATCCCGGCGTGGACAAAGGCCTTCATGAATCCGCTGGTAAGTCAAAATAACCTGGCCATACTCGCTGAGAGTCGGAAATCGGTGTAAATATGTAGCGCATGATTTCCGAACTAATTTTAATGCTGAGTCCAAGTCCCCAATGGTTTTGACCTCAAACTCGCGTGCGGATGTGGGCAGGTTGTTTGAGTGGATTGTGTTTTTTTGTCTCGTACTCTACTTCCCATTTGTCATGGGTTGTTACCTAACTATGTGGTGGGGGGACCCCAAGGTAAAACCTCTGCCACCAGGATTCGAACCCTGGCCCATTTGGTTCGCAATCGTGCTCTCTAGCCATTAGGCTATCGACTCACAGTCGATTATGTTATAATGCAACTTACAAAAGCAGTTCGTTGAAATAATGTGTTAAAAAAAATTCCCGATACAAGGGTACATGCATATTAACAATTGTTGTGCTTTTCGTTTCAGATTTTGGACAATATTTTCTCCCATCTGGATTTCACCACCTTGAAGAACTCCGTCCGACCGTGTGCCTCGTTTGGGCCGATATCAGCGCCCTTCATCTCGGGCGGCTGGCTTGCCTAAACTTTGCCCACCTTCCGAAAGGCATGAGCTCATTCAACGCCAAACTGGCCGGGAACGTTTGCCTCCCTTTAATGAAGCATTCGAGGGAAAACACCCTTTGCCGTGGATTACAAAATTGTGTGTGCAAACTCGACAAGGATTTCAGGAATCTTGCAATGCCTGAAATATCGAAATTCTTGACCCAACTTGCAATTGAAATTGACGTTAAATATCTACCCAAGAAGGGAAAATTCTGGAGCAATTTCCACTTCCGGAACCGCTTGGACATTATAGTTGAGAAATGGGGGGGAAATGACGAGGTCCTCCGAGCGCCACAGTTTCGAGCCCTGACGAATCTGAGGAAGTTCAGCTCTAAAAGTTATCACAGAAACGTAAATGATTGTGAAGTTCAGAACGGTGCAAATATCATTCTCCAGGAGCTTCTAAACTCTGCCATCAACCTGGAAGAAATCGACATAAACGCAGATTTCTGCCCAAATTTGAGCCCATGTAAAAAGCTAAGGATTTTGATTTACGAAAGTATCTGGAAGCCCAGCATTAGTGTTGATGGTCTCGCAATTTACCGGATGTTGGAGGCCTGTTCAAACTCCTTAGTTCAATTGACCTTGAGTGGTCACTATAAACCTAATAACCTCGCACAGGTACCTGCTAATTCTTAATTTATAGCGTTAATCAATTACTAACCAGTCGCAAATTTCTAAACTTACTAGATTCCCAAATATTCCGCCCCGAACCTCACCCACCTTATTCTCAATGGCAACAACGTGAACCGTTTTCTTGGCTGTCCGGACGTTGCTCATCTCCCAAAACTGGCCCATTTGAAGATCTGCGCGGTACGAGAGGATCTTGTTTGGAAAATGTTTCAAAACTGCAGCCCGTCCCATGAAGGAATAACTTCGTTCGATATAAAATGCCACCACTCTGATGTCGAGGACGTGCAAGGTGCCGCCAAAATCGTGAAGCTTTTCCCCTCCGTGACCGAGTTTAAAATGACACTGATAAGTAGTCTCAGCAATTTTGAACGTCTGAGGGAAATGCTAAACTCTTTTCGTGACTGGAGCTTGGCAAAGGGTGAGGTCGAAATTTACGTGTATTGGTTCCCGAGTGTCTATCGGCCGTGTTAGAAGGGTTGGCGGGTTGGCGAGGTAGGAGTGTATTTGTTTCCATTAAAAATTACGGATTAATCCAAGAATTGTGTTTCTCTAGGTTTGCAAAATACGACCCTTCATTTTAAGGTGGGCAGAATGCCCGAATTATCGGATCGATTGCGAGATGCCCTAATTTCATGCGGTTCGATGCGACATATTTCCATGGCGGGTATTACGGTGCGTTGTTTAGGTTTAAAAGGGGATAATTAGCATAAAGGTTTATTAATCTTCATCTGCTTATTTCTTTAGATGAATGAAGAGACTAAGGGCAATTTAAGGGGATTAATTGCAGAGAAAGGTTTACCAATTTCGCTGTAGGATTTCTCCTTTTGTTGGTGTTTACTTTGATTGTGTAATAATGTTAATTTGGGCCAAGTACTTAGGTATTCTTCGTACGCATTTAGTCTCGACAAGACCTGGTACACAATAGATTGATAAACTGATACATTGATAAGTTGAAATTATCGCCTAGCGGGTTACTTGATAAACTGGATTAATGATATTTCTTTAATTACAAGTAAGAAAGCCAAGTTTGGAATAACGACTCCCACTACCAGCAGCGAGCTTATCCCTGTTTGGCGTGATGTTTGTGCGTCAGAAGAATGAGCAAGATGAACTACGAAATCCTCTTTGTAATAATAATGTGAACAACAAATGGATGATTTCTATTAAATAGCAACACCCCAATTTATTGTCACCAACTTATTTCTTATTAATTAAACAACTATTAATTTTGCACAATGCTGCCGAATTACAACTCTATAATTCTACTTCTACTCGGCAGCTACTCTTAAAACCTACTTACTGTTCAACTACTTAACTGCTACTAAAAACTCCCCTTCTTCTCAAGATCAAGTTCAATGTCACGTTCATGCCGTCTCCTTTCTCTTCCAACTCATCAACCGGCATGTTTAAACAAATGGGGCAAAATGACACATATAAAAACAAGAAAATAAATACATAAACACTCTCATGTTATGCAAAACCAAGAACTTATGCAGACGAATCTAGTTGGAAATGATTTTCTCCAGGTTAAATGATCACAAATTACAATGCATACACAGTATCTAAATCTGGCTTGAGATACATAAGTATGAAAATTACGATATTACATAAATACATAATCATTCAATCATCCTTCATTCGCATATATCTGGGGTTTGTGTAATTGACTGCCCAGGTTGGGTCTAAATAATAAAGGTTTTATCTTTTTTGTTATCTGAACTGATAAGTGATTCTGAATAAATTGATGGACCTGTCACGCAATTGATTCTCTCAGGCTTAAACTTGTTCATGGCTAAGCTTGCTGTAATCAATATTTACCACATTTACAATCTGGTACATTGACCAACCCAATAATTAATTCATATTTCATAATTTAAAACTGCTGTCAAGCGAGGAAAAATCACATTATCTCGACAGACGGACACAACATTGTCGAAAATATGGAGAAGAACGAGGACCTTTGCGAAATCCCGGTGTGGACAAAGGCCCTCATGAATCCGCTGGTAAGTGCAAATTACAAATTATTTAATCGTCCAATTAACTGTAGATTCGCTGAAAAATTTGTATGCATAAGATTGCCCAGAATGGATGACAAAATTTGACCTCCGCTGAGATTAGAGAGTTTATATCAAATCAATAATTGGGTAATTATTTACATCCGTGTGTGTTCATGAAATCGATCGGTTTCACAGATTTGCTGAATTTTTGGTCGCATTACATACATAAATCTTGTTTGTAAAGAGTTGGTCTTTCGTACAAAGATGGGTGCAAAATAGTCCGACTGCGCCCTCATTTACACATTTTTCATTCAGATTTTAAACAGGATTTTCTCCCATCTGAATTTCGCCGACTTGAAGAATTCCGTCCGAATCGTCTGCACCGTTTGGGCCGACCTAAGTGCCTCGCATCTTGGGCGTCTGTGTTGCCTCAGGGTTTCACATAATCACCTGAAAGATATGACCTCATTCAACCCTAAACTGATCAGGAATATTTCCCTCCACCTGAAGACAGACTCGAAGCTAACGGGCAGCTCTGCTGGCGTACTGAATTATCGGTACACCGACGCTGTTACCGTGGTGCCCGAAATACCAAAGCTTTTGACCCACCTTATCATACACTTTGACACAAGAAGTCTACCAAAACTGGGGGAAATGTGGGGCACCTTCATCTTCCGGGACCGGTTGGGCATGCTGGTTGAGAAATGGGGGGTGACGAGGTCCTGGGGGCGCCAGAATTTCGACCCTTCCCAAATCTTAAGGGGCTCACCTTCACAAGTCACGATAACCCCCTTCAAACCGTCATCTCGGGGGGTGCAAGCACCATTCTGCAAGGGCTGCTAAACTCTGCTCCTAACCTGGAAGAGGTAAATATGACGATAGATTTCTACCCGGACTTCACCTCGTGCAAAAACCTCCGGATTTTGACCTTCAACTGTATTGGGCTACACAAAATTACGCTTTCTGACCCTTCCGCTATTTCAAGAATGATGGATACTTGCTCAAATTCTGTAGTTCGGTTAACTTTGAGTGGTTTCTATAAAACTTTGAGCCTTGCACAGGTGTTTGCAAATGTTTAAATGGATCCATGACTCAGAGGTCGACGCCGCCGATCGTACGCCGCCGCGCCGGCGATCGTACGCCGCCGAACGCCGGTAGCATTTTACGCGTCGCCGCAGGCGAAAAATTTGATTTTCTATACCCTTAGCTTTGCGACGCCGCGCCGCGCCGCCGACGCCGCCGAAAAATCACCAAAAACTGGCGCCGCCGCCGCCGAAAATTTGTCGGCGTCGCCCTCTGCCATGACTCGTCCGTTTATAACAAATCGCTACTTTTTATTTTTAATCTAGATTCCAAACTTTAGCGCCCCGAACGTCACCCACCTTACAGTCAAAACGGATGGGGGAATTATGTTTGATTTCTTGGACGTTGCTAGTCTCCCAAAACTTTCCCACTTCTCCATCCAAGGGATAATGTGTGACAACGCTATGTGGAGAATGTATCAAAATTGTCACCGGCCGCATTATGGCATAAGTAAGCTCGAAATCAAGTGCTTTCACTGTGCCGCAGAGGATGTACAAGGTTCCGCCAAAATCGCGACGCTCTTCCCATGTGTTACTGAGTTTGGAAATGCTATGTTATCCGGGAACTTTGGAACATTTGAGGGGAATTTTTAACTCTTTTCGGGAATGGAAGTTGACGAAGGGGGAGATCGAAATCGGAGCGATTAGATGCTTGGACTCCTTAGCGGCTGTGTTGGAGGGAATGGCGGGATGGCGAGGTAATGATGGCCGTCGGTAAAATAAATATGTGGCACAAAAATGGCGATTTTCCGGAACTCATTCCCCTTTCCGTTTGTGAGTATTACTGAAGCATTATCCATATGTTCCCCTCTCGTACAACGTACGCTATGAACAGCCCCCAAATAAAATTTCTGAAAAATGCCCTAATTTTGTTGATATGGGATAAATATTAGCACTGACAAATCCGTTCAAATTTTCAAATATGGATTTCCTAGTATTTATTTTCGTCGGGTCGTAAAGCCGGATTTGAGATACTTATTGCAATTATTAATTTCTTCGATATTTGCGAGTCAGATGGACCTCAAGTAGTTGCAGCATCACATTCAGGTGCAGTATCAGCTTTTTGGAGGTTTTTTTATATTCTTGAAAATTTTGGAACCATACATATTTCCTGGCATATTTTTCAGTCGATATACTGAAAAAAACGTGAAGTTTCTAAACAGTTGAGTAGTTGAGTTTAATGTCGAGTATGATAACGCAACTATCTAGCCGGAATGTATTACATACAATTTTTTTAATCCACATTTTTATCTTTATATCGAGAATGGATGCGAGTCTTCAAACTTGGAAAATCCGAATTATTAATGTTCGGAATGAAATTCGGATTTTTCCATTTCGAAGTATTCGGATTTAACAGCCCTAATAAATATATAGGTTTGCAAAATACGGAACTTCACTTCAATGGGGGCTTGATTCATGCCTTATCGGACCGGGTTCGTGACGCCCTCATTTCATGCGGTTCGATCCGGCATATTTATATGGATCAACTTTGGGTGCGTTACCGTTTCTGTACGTGCATGTTCGTGTGCAGGGGTTGATTAATGTTCATTTGTGGTATTGGTGTAGATGGACGAGAAGATTCGGGACAATTTTAAGGCATTTACAGTACCAAGGAATTTACCTATTTCGCTTTAGGCATCTACAGACCTTACATTGATATTGTTTTAAGCGTAATAATGTAAAATGTAATTATCGTATGTAGAACAAATATAATGCATGTAACGAATAGGTGAAATCAAGAACTTTTATTCTTAATTTTAAATCAAATATTTTGGATAAAGTGTGTGCCCTTCTTGTTGATTTAAACAAAAAAATGCCTGAAAGTGTTTTGCATATTTGTATGTGACACATGGACAAAATTTAGCATTTCTTTCTGCGACCTTTCGTGACTTTGACAAGGTAGAATGGATGCCACCATTGAATTCGGGGTCAAATTGCCAATGAAATTGGTGCACGCAATTTATTTAACAAATTTTAACAAATTTTCTCATTTCGGTAGTATTTATGTTACCAGAGCAGATTTAATTGTAGCGGACAATTTTGAAAATTTCATAAAATTAATTAACATTAGTCATTTTGTTGTTCATCAAAAATTATGAATTTCATTTCTTGAAAGTTTTCGGCTTATTTACAAATAATAATACCAATTAATAATAGGTATGCCACAATACTTTTACACATACATACTTACATACATAAATCTAAAGTTGATCTTATTATTTTCTTGCATTCCCATACATAAAAATTGTTACAATTTCTGATAAAATCCCTGATCATGATGCAAATTCATCACAATCCTTGAAAATAAATTGGCCTACCAAAACCTATGCACATCTTCTGACAAGAATACATACATGTTCACCTTCATTCATGTGACTGATTATGATAGTGAATGAAAATTAATTTCCTATGCTTTGAATGCAAATGAGTGAAAGATGATTCCGTCATTTCAGATGAGTCACTGTGAATGAAAGGATTTTTCACTCTGTCCCTTCAGTTTTCACCATATTATGCTTAATACATGGGGCGAAGTAAGGAATAAACTCAGATGAAGGGAAAAGAAACAAAATGATTAAGTGTGAATTAAATGAAATGAATTTGAGCGGAAATGACTGAAAATTTTCACTCAGAAATCGGGATGACTGAACTTTGAATGAAAAAAATTGAACAGGTTTGCTGACAAGTCATCGATCTCATTTCTCCAAAGTGTGCATGACAGAAGAGTGGCGGGCCAAGTCAGCAAACTCGAAAAACCCCTTCCCACAAAAATAGCACTCCTTACTTCTCACCCGGTCATGAACCCTTCTCACGTGCCTCGTCAGCAGAGACTTGTGCCAAGTTTTGTACTCACATCGGTTACACGACTGAGGTGGCTCCTTCAGTGTCCCGTGCCTCGAAGTCACGTGATATTCTAAACCGGGTGCACTTTTTAGTATCACATGGCAAGAGTTGCATGGGTAGGTGACCTTCTTATGAATTCTCCTAACGTGACTCCAAAGGCTGGACGAATGGAGAAACGTCCTTGGACAGGACTCACAGGTGAGCACGGGCAGCGTGGATTTCTCCTGGTGGGTCGTCTAAGACAAGATTAATCAAGATTAATCAAAAATATCGAAAGTGAAACATTGCATTTTAAATATTTCTTTCCATCTATATTATAAGCTGGAAATGTCTGTCGGCAACAGAAGTGAAAGGAAGTAAGAAAGTCAAGTTTCGAATGGGGCGAAAATTCAAAATTAAATAAATTTAAAAAAAATATCGGATGGTGCTTATCTTGTTTGGTCTGGTCACCCTGGAAAGCTTCTAGTGACACTTAAGACATAATTTTTTTAATTAAATTTATTTTCAATTTTCGCCCCATTTGAAACTTGACTTTCTTTAATTCCATTACGAAATATTTGCTTCCACTTCCATTGCCAACATACATTTCCAGCTTATAATTGTCGCTCGCCCGTCAAGAGACCGGCTTATGCGCTAGTTTACCATATGGTATTTCAAAATATCCGATCCCTTGAAACTCTTCCCACAAGTTGGGCACACATAAGCTTTCTCAATCGTGTGGGCGGCAACTATGTGTCTCCTGAGGTTACCCGAAAGTAATAAACTTCGTGTAGATAGAAATTTGTTATGTCGGAGCGAAATTCGCTGAAGTACTTGAAGTTCTCACCGAACACCATACATTATTTGAAAGCTTAGAAGTTGGACATCAAATCCTAGAAGGTTCTAGAAGCTTATAAATATAGTCAAGAGTAAAATAAAAGTAGCAAGCAGGAGGGCAGAAAAAATCCTTGACCTGAAGTAATTAAAATTAACCAAAATTGATCGTCCTGTACAAGACGATTTACTGCTCAGATTATCAAAATGCTTTTATTTGCACATAGTACAACTCTCCCACCTTCAAGAAAACCATTTATGCAAAACTGGAAATTAAATATAAGCCAAAGTATCACGCTCCGCCTTAAAACGGATCAAATGCAATTAACATGGGAGAGGTAACATGGGAAACGTTCCCAAATTTGCCAAATACAAGACCTATTGAAAAATTTTAGTTCCTATCCTAGAAAAAATATTGTAATCGAAAAACTTCAGACAAAAATTTGAACTTATTTCAACACATGTGGTCAAAAATCTCAAAAAAGGTGACCAAAAACAGTGGCGAAGCACTAATTGTGAGCGCCCAACAAAAACGTCTCCAAATTTGGCGGAAGGGGTGTACGGACCATTGGAAGCAAAACTTAATTAGCTTTAACCTTTGTCCCTTTCTGACCAAAATTTCGCTTTAAAAAATTCATTCGTTGAGTTTATATGTGCATGTGACCAAAGTTGCATTACTTCCGGAACACCCTCTAGTTGGCTGGTCGTGTGGGTAAAAAATGGAGTGGATTTCCCACTGGAATCAAATATTTATAGGAGAGAGATGATTTATGAATTGTCAACTATTTGGTAAATACTCGCACTAACGTAGGAGATATTGGAAGAATGGATTCCTGGGTTTAATGCAGAATCTCTCACACCCTTCCAGTCAGAGTTAACAACGGTCTGATTAAAGTGAAGAATGATGGAATGCGTGGAGAAGGATTTCTTAGAAATTCGACCCAAACATACATAGAATTCTCAACGGTGAGGTGTAAAAATATACTATGTACTTACGGTACCTTTTCTAAATATGCTCATAAATTCTTATAGGGAATGAGTTTAAGCTCCTTCTACATTTGTAGGGTGGATTTATATATTTCGGAACGTGTATATATTACGTCATCATTTTAGTGGGTGGGTGATTTAATCCTTCCTAAATATCTTTACCATGTTAAAATTTCCTATCGCTTAAAGTATATATACGTTGGGTCAGTAGTGGGTGCTTAAATCGAAAATTTTTGATGACGTAATATATGGATGTCCCTTTAAACATTCTGCACCCTTTCAGACTAAAGGCACATATTCACAGTATATTTATAGAGTTTTTGGTACATACATACCGTAAAAACTCAAATAGTAGCCCTTGCTCAAATAGTAGCCGTGCCCAAATAGTAGCCCTGCCTTTTTCCATAATTTTATAAATAGTGACCTTGCTGAAATAGTAGCCGTGCCCAAATAGTAGCCTTATTCTAATTATAGACGTTCGTCAATTTCCAATGTAAATAAATACAACCAGACATCTTCTGGCCAGCTCATTTAAGTAATTAAATCACAATTCAATTTAATTTCAGTTATACAAAATTGAATACGAAATTCGGCTCATTGGAGAAATTATTAAAATTTAGAGCAGGCCTAACCTATAGAATTGTCATCTAATACGAATCTAAGGGAGAATTTGGTGCTGCTATTTAAATTTAATTTGAGTTTGATTCTGGAAACAAAATTACAATAGCTGTTTCCTAATAGTAGCCGTGCGTCTTTTCATAATTTATAAATAGTGACCGTGCCCAAATAGTAGCCTTGCTCAAATAGTAGCCGGATCCCAGCCACCGATTTTTTTAAATAATAGCCCCCGGCCACTATTTGAGTTTTTACGGTATGTACACTTCTCGATGGGACGCATACGGGATCACGACATTGTGAGGATGGGAAACCTTGGTTACCATTATTTCTGAAATTTTATGTATAGACTTTGCATCAACAAGACCAATGTTAAAGTTTTTATCGTAAGAAACTCAGAAATTGGGTGCAAAGCCAAAATTTATTGCCAAAGTAAATTAATAATGAAAAGTAAGTAATTAAAAAAAATGGATTTGATGCTGCACTTACTTATTTATCCTTAATTTAATTGAATTTTTGCACCCGCACCAATATGTACTAGCGGTGTAGCCAGTGGGGCTAGGGGGCTGGTGCCCCCTCAGGACCGTGAAAATAAAAATTGAAATAACGTAAAAATTTAAAAAATAATAATAAAAATCAAATTTTAAGAAGTTTAATTTTAACGTTAACTTTAATTTTAAATTGTAAGAAATTTAAAAATTAAAAATTAGGTTACGAATTAACTTACTTGAAAGTATTAATTATTATCTTAACCTTTCAGGTTACTAACAAAAACCATATCTCAAAATACCTTAAAAATGAGTCCACTCCCATTAAAGTTAGGAAAACCCCATTGCGAGTAAGCCAGCCGCAATTCACCCGCCCTCCTTGATTTACACCTTAGGCTTTGTGAGTCTATTCTACATTTACACATTTCCCTCCTTTATTCCGAAATTTCAATTCTCATTTTAAAAATTTCAAAAGTGTGTGATGTGTTATACGGAATTTTAAAGATTATTAATTCAACTTAATCTTGCAAGATACTGTTAATTGCTTAAGGGTAAGATCTATTTTACATTCCATTCTATATTTTTACAAATTCAAACTCTTAGTTTTGTACGTTTTTTAGTAGATCACAATCTAACCGACGATTCTTTCCTACACCTTCAAAAAGGTAACCTGATCCAGGTCGTCCAAGTCCTTGTTGATCAGATTCTGATTTGGAATGGAAAAAATATGTTACAGTCTAGTTGCCCAAGCGTTATTGGACAAATCATGCAGAATATTTAAATATGTTTCTAGGCTTGTTTCAGTGTTAATAATATCTCGAACATTTTTTTCTACACTGGAATATAATTTTAAGTTACATGTGACAATACTCGTAATTGCATTGTAAAGCTTAATAGTTGTGAAATAATAAACAGCGCACACTTAAATAAATATATATTTTTCAATTTTCACTTTTAAATTATCTGTAGTAAGCCGAGGACTGGACAGAGTATGTATGTAGGTCATATACTCCAAACAGTGTTCACTTTTACTTAGAATCGGGCAGAATAGGATCATATAGAGTAACATCTTACTATAGCGGTGCATCGAAGTCAACCGGATGGATTTGATTTGAATTTCGGCCCGCCTCCAATGTTAATTAAATGGGCACGTGATTTTGGCGCGTAGAAATTCTGTCCGGTTGACTTCGATCCACCGCAATATGTGTCGTTCGCATAATTTGGAGCATGCTACAACTCTGAGCGGAGTAAGTACGCTTAGTCCAGACGAGTTGCTACACGCATTACTCCGGCAGTAGCGGAACTATAAATTTGGGGCTGGTAGGCAAAGGTACGTCGGGGCCCCTGTCCCTGACAGATTTGAAAATACTTCAGAAATTAGGGGCATTTTGTGGTTTTAGGGAGGTAATTTTGCGCCGTCTGTTTAAACGACAAAGGTTTACTTAAAATTATATATTAATAAAACCACAACTTCAAAAACTGAGGGTAGAGCTGGCTGGTAAATATGATTAGTTTGGTCGGCATGAGAGGATATTGAATTTTTATAATAATAAGTACTACAGGTGTAACGATGACGATTACGTTGTCATTTACATAATTACTCGTTGGCAGGCATCTAAATTTAGGCGGCATGATTATGCATGTTAAAGATGATTGTTTGCGGTCTAGACGCTGCCCATTTCGCCAAATTGTCCCATTTGAGGATCAAGGAGATGCTTGCGCGTGAAAACGTTTCCAATTACTTGTAAATTGTGACCTTCACCAAAAAAAGGAATACTTCACGGGACATAAACGGTGGGTATTTTGATGTTTTAGTTTTCATGTTAAACAATAAAATGCAAATTTTTAGAACCACCAAAGGATTTCTTGCTTGTTTGATAATCTTTGATACGATGTGCGTAGTTTCTATGGATAATCCGCATTTGAGCTTTATGCGAAGTTAACCGATGATAAGGGTATTTGTTTAGTTATCAGTTGTGATAAGCGGTTCCATATGACACGTATGCACTCAGGCTTAAATGATTTGCTTCGGAGCAAATTTCAATTATAGTTGCACCAACTTACAATTCAGAAGAAAAGTTGATCAGCGTAAAAGTTTGTTCACTAAAAAAATGGAAGGAGCGGACCTTTTCGAACTTCCCGTGTGGACAAAGACCCTCCTGAATCCGCTGGTAATTGGGAAATATTTAGTTTACCAAGCAGCTGCCGTTTGCTAGATTAGATATTCTTGTTGTCTAATATTGACACACTTATAGAGAGTTATAAAGTGACACTCACGAGTCGTGAGTCACGATACACGTTGCATATTATTTCATATGTTTTTACAACCTCGTTAATACGTTTGACTTGTTACTTTTGTCTAGATATTGACAGGCTGTGTGAATTTTAATCCATTGGTTGACGTTAGGCAAAATATTTAATGCTGTTTAATGTCTTTAAAAATATGTAACTAAAAGTGTAAGATGTGAGGAAGTTGAGAATTTGCATTGTAGGTAAAATTCAAAGAAATATTATGTATGTAATGCATATGTGTGTATGATGGATGACACGAGAAACTTGCTCGACTCGCTATGCAGCAGTTTCATACTCTCACTATGTTTCACCCACCAATGCAGACAATATAAATGTAGTAACTTTGTTCATGAAAAGCGAAGAGAAAGATGCATGCATGCATATTAGTTATGCGACAGTCAATTCTCGGAAAGACTGAAATAACTGCGACTCAGGTCACGTAAGCAACTTGCTTTCGCGTCCGACCTTCCGTATATAAACGGTCATGGTCCACCACCAAAAACAGGGTCCAAAAACCTATGTGCTAAAGCAAACGCTGTTATGCACAAGCGTGTTTAATTAAATCTCACGTTACCTCAAATGAGAAGAAACGGAGAAAATAAATCTACACGTATCAATTTACCTCATAAATAATTATAAATACCAAAGTATCAATTTGCCCAAATAATAATAAGAATTGCATGCATTAAATATGTGTATGTAGTATGCAAAAAGTGTAAATAAATCAGTAATCGTTACATTATTATAAATATTAACCTTTTCGTTGCCAATTTAATTATTTACATAAAATCAATTGCCACAATTAAAAATAACATAAAATCACTTATCATAATTTCTCATGAACCTAAACATATGCTAAAACTTGAAATAATGGGCAATTCTTACCAAGCCCACGAACAAAACTTCACTTCCATTCCCCCCGAATGGAGAAATATGTAGTTAATTTTTCAAATTTTTCCTGGAACTTTTGGACTAATTGCAAAAACTGTATAAAACATATTTCGTTAAAATATATATTTTTATAATTCCATTACGCGGATAATAAAAAAATCATCATATTTTTTTAACATACTTATTTGACCATGTTTTAGATTTTGGACAATATTTTCTCCCACCTGGATTTCACCACTTTGAAGAACTCCGTCCGCCCCGTGTGCACCGTTTGGGCAGACCTCAGCGCCTCGCATCTCGGGCGGCTAGGTCGCCTCCGGTTGTCCCACATTCCCAAACGCATGAACTCATTCCACCCAAAACTGGCCAATTGTATTTCCCTCCGCTGTTTTGAGGGACCCTGCTGTTCTAAACCCGGAAATTATGCATGCACCCTAGATAACGACCCTGTTACCGTAAACCCTGAAATATCAAAATTTTTGACCAAACTTGTCATAAAAATCGAAGAAATAGTGCTACCCAAACTGGGAGAAGGGTGGAACACGTTCAAGTTCCGAAATCGATTGGGCATCCTGGTTGAAAAATGGGGAGATGACGAGGCCCCACAATTTCGATCCTACCCTAATCTTAAGACACTCGTCTGTATCATTCGTAGCCCTTGGAGAAAAGGTTGCCACGTGGGGGTTGGTGCAAGTACGATCGTGCAAGGGCTGCTCAATTCTGCCCCCAATCTGGCAGAGGTCAAGACGAGAATAAATTTCTATCCAGATTTCACCCTCTGTAAAAAGCTGAAGATTTTGAAGTATGAATTTGACAGAATGCGAATTTATCCAGACCCTCCTGCAGTTTCAAAAATGCTGAACACGTGCTCAAATTCTTTAGTTCGGTTGACCTTGGATGGTTTCCAGGGTGCTGATAAAACCAATAAACTCGCACAGGTGTTTGTGTGTGTGCATAATCCATTACTTGCAGGGCTGCCAAATTCGAAGATTTCGAATTGTTCGAGTTCATAAAAATTTTAAAAAGAGTTTTCGGCCATCCATGTATTACGTCATAAAAAAGCTCTACACTTCAACACCCACCCACTCAACATGACCATTAAGGGATGGGGAATTTTAACATGGGAAAGATAAGAAGACTTATGCATAAACCACCCACCCATTACAATGATTGAAATGTATTTAGACGTTCCTTTTTCGAATTCGAAGTATCCGTATTTGACAGCCCTAAATACTAACATGTTCATCAATTTTTGACAATTGACTAATTTCTTATCTAGATTTCCAACTACTTTGCCCCGAACCTTACCCACCTTACGATTGTTTACAGTGAGGTAAACTTTCTTCTTAGCTGTCTGGATGTTGCTCATCTCCCAAAACTGACCCATTTCGCGATCAAGGGGTACAATGAGAACCATATTTGGGAAATGTTTCAAAATTTTAATTTACGTCATACTGGGGTAACTTGTCTTACAATTAGTATCGTGTGCGCTTACGTTGATACCAGGGACGTACAAGCTGCCGCCAAAATTGTGCATCTCTATCCATCCGTGACCAAGTTTAAAATGTCGGTTGGACATGGTGCAAGGAATTTCGAACACTTGAAGGAAATGCTGAACTCTTTTGGAGAGTGGAACTTATCGATGGGGAAGATCGTAATGTCGTCTTTCATGCGTGCGGAGCATGTAGCGGCAGTGTTGGAAGGGATGGCGGGTTGGCGAGGTAAGGGATTTTGTTTCCGTTAAGATGGACTGTTACATATGATTAATTCCCGCGCGTCTCGATCCACCCCAAGTGTCGGGCTGTTAAAAAGGTTGAACTTTTTAAAGTAATAAACTCTCCAAACGAATGTAAATAAGTATAGCGTCAGAGCGATTCCAGCTTCCTTTAACGTTTCTCCGTATTTGACCTCGTCCTAACGGTCATGAGGTAAAAAACATTAACGTCCTTGAAATCGCAGTCAAATATTTCCTTTAAATTGACAACCTAAATGACAATCATGTGTTTTCTGACCTCTGACCTCGTCGTCCAGGTCATGAACTAAAAAATACTGATATCGTTGAATTCCCGGTGAAATTTTTTTTAAATGACACCCCACATGAAAATTAAGGTTAAATTTAATTTTGGACCAAACCCCCTGGCTCGGTGAGGTGTGGTCCTATTGACCCTATTTAAAAACCAAAAATTAGAAACACGATGTCGAAAACGGGGTTTGATTATGTTGACTCGTTCTGAAGATATCCTGCTTACGGACGGAGAGACGGACGGACAAAACGATCAAGACGAAAAAAAAACGAAAACGATTTTTTTCGTCAATTTGTTCAAAACAAAACGATTAAGTAGCTGACGCTACTTAATAACACCTTAATTTGCTTGCAAATTACCGGCGAAATACTAATTTTAGCTTGATCATAAGACGAAGACAAGGCGCATGAGGCGGTATGAGATGTGCGAGAATGGCTCATTTTAAAAATGACGGACAAATTTGCGAATTGTGATTTTGGGGTGTATGCGTAAATATGTAAATATTTAGGTTTGCAGAATACGACACTTCACTTTAGGAAAGGCTTGGTGATGTTTGACCGAGCGAGAAACGCGCTCCTATCGTGCGGATCAATTCGACACATTTATGTCCACGGCGCTAAGGTATTTTAATTCTTCGTCGAACAATTCCTATTTGTCACGTGGTTTATTAAATTTAATATTCTTCTGACGCATTAATTTAGATGGTTCAGGAGGATCGGGAAGATTTGAGGGAATTAATTGCCCAGAGGAATTTGCCAATTTCTCTCATTTCACGTTAATTCGAGGAGTAACATCTGGCCTAGAATTTTTTGTACGGCGAGTAAATGATGTCGATTATTTGATAAAGTGGCAAACTTCCAAGTCGTAATTGTTACTATGTATTTTCAAATTTCAAATTTCATTTAATTAATATGCAAATAGTACAGTCTTATCAGTAATGATACCATTTTTAGAAGTAAGCCCATCGAATTATGTGGGCTGACTTAACGGCTGACTTAACTGTAACGACTTCTTACGACTTTTACGAAATTCATGCGTAACTTGACCTTGGTCCACTGAGTTTTAGATTAAGCAGCATAATTTAGCATTAAGAATGTAAAAATGTCGTAAATTTTCATTTGAAAAGGGTGACATTATGTTTTAGATTGTATTAAAATTAAGTTTGTCAGATGTGATAATTTGACCAGAGAAATTTTTGCTTCGAGATTTACTTGCCGTCTTCCTGCCCTAAGTTTTTAGTAACTATCATAAATATGTGTGTAACTATTGTAGCTTGATGAATTTAATTAATAAATCAAGTTTAATTGTCAAGCCTAGGAATATTTTTTTTAATGGAAGCATAATGAGAAATAATAAACTCGACACACTCTTAAAAAACTGGTTTTAAATTGTTACCGACTGAAGTTACATACGACTTGGGGGACCCACCAACACGGTAATAACGTATATTATGTATGACTTCTTACTGAACCTTCAGAATTAACATGAAATACAAAACCTGCCGATCTGATTATTCGTCTCCTCGACTTGATTTTTTTAAATTCATAATTTTCCACGTTTCACCTGATTTTAGTTTGAAATAAAAAAGCTGTCAGTGCTAATCAGCCACATGTATTTAGGCCATTCGTTCTTATGGAATTTTTGAAGGCTTTACTATCAATTGATTTTGAACCAGGTAATAATTCTGTGGTAATGAGAAACTTGCCACCATAACCAAACTATAACCAATGCGGAAGAAATTTTTTTACTTAAATCAATACAATTTGGACCGCTTACCTACATACATATGTACATATGTGACCTCGCAACATTTTTAACATTGTGCATAAAAATTTAGCCATTCCAATTCGAGTTACCGATGAGATGAGTTGAAGTGAGATAGACCTCGTCTCATCTCATTACCAGGTGAGATGAGATGAAAACTAAATGAGTTAGTTAAACCCGTAACTCGTCTCACCTCATCTCATCTCATGTTCAGATGAGATTGAATGAGATGGCTCGTTTAACGCTTTGTACGCTATATAATAGCTAAAATTCTTACAGATCTTATACATAAACTAATGATCTTGTTGGAGTTCCTCTTTGGCTTCCAACCGTGCACGACGTATCTCTCTCTCTCTCTGCAACTGGATTCTCTCTCTTCCATCTGGGTCACGGGTGTGCCAGGGCAAGTGAAGTGTGTCCCAGGGTTTTCGCCATGTGAGCCTCGTCCACTCACACCCAGGTTGGTCAGTGTTTGGTATGTCGGGGTGGTGACCTTGGGGGGTGGTTGGTGGAAGAGTGAGGACGGGGTCGTGCATGGCGGTGGGAAGGTAATCGGGACTACGGGGTTCCCATGACCCGGTTGGACTGTGAGGAGTGAAGGGGCAAGTGGGTAGTGTCGCTCGGCAATGGTCATAATGCATCACCGTGAAGGGGACACGTAACCCGAGCCCGAAAGCGCGATAAGGTTACTTCGTGGTCCGTGGATGCCCCGCCCAACAACCTTCACTCCTTTTGCTTCCGCCGTCGCGACGCCGTCCTCATCTGGATATCATCATTATCTCATCGGATCTGCCTATGATCGCTATCATTCATTTGTCCTGCCTTAGAGCCGAATGGACCCCTCGGCCATATTCCCAGAGGTGATAGTGGTTTTCATAGCTCTCCACCATAGCTAGGTTTTCCCACTATTCCTCTGGCTACCCTACTCTATTATACATTTACATTTCTAACTCTGTACATAATTTCCATATAGCGTTCCAAAATAAACTCATTGATTGATTGAACTAATGATATTGTTGAAGCGTAAGGTGAATATATGTTAATTGTTTCAGTGTAAAGTAAATATGTGTAAATGATTCATGCTTAGGCATACAAAATATTTATTTGACTATTGAATAACTAAGAAAATGAGTACGTGACTAAAGTTAGAGAAGCTTCTAAAACAAGCAAGCACCATCATCAACAACCTTTTTCCCCGCAGCAAGGACGCGGAGAAGTCAGTCAACACTGGGAAGTCAACGCTGGAACATTGAACAGTGACTAGGCTCGTTCACGCACTTGTCAGTCAGGCAATAATTCTGAAATAGTTTGTAGCGAACTGATAGGTCTAGAGTAATTGTTTTATGAGTATTTGTACGGTTTTAAGCGAATTAAGAAAAGTATTTTAAGATATCCGGTCGGCCTTTTGCTTCTAGCTCAAATTCAGAGGTTTACATATATCCATTGGGGATCAGTTCAGCGGATAGTTGCCACAAGCGGCGTGTCAACGGATTGTACACTGAGTTTAGATAGGCAGTTAGGGATATTCTTGAGTACCTTTGGATATATCGCCATTCCACAGTAGATACATAACGGTGAAGGGCCTTACAACCCCTACGTATCACCACCCAAAATAAAACTCCATGTGGGGACTTTGATGCTAACAACGTAATAGAGAGCTATTACGAGGAATCACCGGATAGTTTCAACGGAAATTAATTTCCTTGGAGCATCACCCCCCACAGTTGTGACACGTTATTCTTAGTGAGGCAAATACCTAACAACGAAAAAAATTACTAAGTATGCATTTGACCCACCCCAAAAACGTGACCATCTGCGATATTTCAGTCATTTCTCAAACGATTTTTTTAATATGTAATACTAACCTAAACATGCTCTCAGGTAAAACTAAAAATTTGAACAAACAATACCCATAAAGATGACTCATATTTAGTAATGAATTGACATCAACTCACTAAAACTCATCTCATCCCACAACTTTTAATCCGCCTGATGTGACTTCTCATCTTATTTGTGGGCCATCTCATTTCATCTCATCCTAACTTGAGATGAGATGAACTAATCTCACCGGCAACCCTAACCCCAATCCATCACTTCAACCATTCGCATACTTACATGCTTTATCTCTTGGAATTATCCAATCCCAAATACGCATTTAATTTATGTATCAAGCCAATCTGCTGGATTGTCCAGAACTAAATTGATAACACCAGGACGTTCAAAGCATGCCTTTCAACAAATATGTGATGCAGGCGAACTCAGAAAAACCGAGAAATTGTTACATAATTGGGTTATCCGTGGTTCCACAAACTTGGGAAATTTGTTTATTCCGAAGTATTATCACCCACATACAATGCAAATTTACTCCGTACTTCCCAGGTCAGAGAGGAGAGTAAAAATGAGTGATTGCTGGTTGATAAAAAGCATTCTTGATCCGCTATAAAAGCGACCCACGTAATCTTTAACCTTAGTCGGAATCGAGTCATTTCTGTTTCAAGGCACAAATTTGTACACTCTTAAAAATAACGTAGTCCTTTTAAAAGCAAGAACAAGTTTCAAGTCTGTATTAAATAAAAGATATAAAATCCAGAGTAACGTTTTCTTTATTAATAAATAGTAAAGTTTACGATAAAAACTCTAAATAAAAATAAGTAAAATATAGTCAACCGTTGTGCAAAAGTTTTGCAACGGGTGGATAACTTTTTTTTTGCAAAACGTTGGATAACTTTTTCCCTTTGATTTTTTCGTCCTCTTTATCGCTCAACATTGAGTAACCTTTGGGTTATTATTTTATTTAGAGTGTGGATTTTGTATAAATACTTTACTTAATATAGAATTCAAACTGAATTTATTTTTAGAAGGTGAACATTATTTTTAAGAGTGTGCTTAATTTCATTCCTTATATTGTACAAATTCTTAAACCTTACTTCGCATAAAAAATGCAATTCTCCACTATTCTTGCCGCGATTTTGTCCTGCATTTGCCTCGCTGCTGCCGGCGTTGTGAACGTTACACGGTGCGAAGGTACACACATCTTAATTAAATTAAGAATAAAATTATGTACAATTTTTAAATTACACATATATATCTATAAAAATATTTAATTGTGTATCTCACAAGGTTTTGGAACACCTATCCAGACGCGAATCAGTGACTGTGAAGGGTACTGTCGATTTCAGCCGGGCCAAGTGTACAATGCGGAACAAGATTTTATGCCAAGTATGATTCTTTTAAAGATATTTTCTACACTCTGAAATGTCATGTTATGCTGAGGAAAATGTGATAGAAGTCATGTAAGTATACACTCCGTAGGGCCGGTCTAGGAATGGGAATAACTTCCTTGCACTATTATGTCACTGACAATGAGCAGGTGTGAGGTGGTTATCGTCGATTTTGACGCAGTCAATTGAAAAATTTGATACTTTCATGTAAAAAATTGTGGTCAGATAAATATGTTCATTTTTTTAAATTACCACGTCACCTGTCTTTCGAACACGTGTTTTTAACTGATCTTCCCTGGTGACAGAACGTCTCCTAATTCATTACTCAAAAATAGAGCACTATTTATAAATAGTATCTCCGCGGGTGGCGAGTTGTCTCACAATTATTTGTAGTGTGTATATACTTTTTTTTTATAAATTATGGATTTTATTTTTATTTTATTTTTAAAATTTTTTTTCCATTTCTAAATTTTTCCCTGAACACGCCACAAATTTAGTGCGAAAGCTTGGAGTAAATCCGCGTTAAAACGATAATTTTATAGGATTAGTCTAAATAATTAAATTAAATAATAATTACATTTTTAAATGATTAAATAATACTTTTTTTGTCCCCAAATTTATCAGGCGGTGCTACACCCTCGTTGACTTTGATGGTGGAAATTTGCCTGCAGAGTGGGGGTGGCGTTTGTATGCAAATTATTGATGCACCCCTCCCCAACTCGTCCGTCCAGCCGGGCTTCCTTTACACCGCCAAGTACTCCGTCGTCCCGAATGATGTCCTGTCCAATAGAACGGTGGAGATGAGGGCGTACATTTCCCATACGGGAACTACCCGGGTAGATGTGTGCGTTTATTGTGATGTGGATGTTTTGTAAAAAAAACAATATTTTATGTCGCTGCACCGAGAATAAATAATATTGTATTGAGAAGAAAAAAATGTATAAAATTCTGAACCATTTCATCTTGTTCCTACCATCAATCCGGGAAATACCTGGGTGTTTATTGTGATGTGGACGTCTTGTGAAAAAATGACAAAAAATATTTTATGTTGTTACTTGTACCCGAAATAAATATGTAATATTGAAATGAGGAAAAAAAGTTTAAAATTCTGAACTAGATATTTCTTATTTCGCATGGGAACATATGTAATTCTTGGAAAGTTCAGTTATCAAATTTTAATTATTTAGTCAATGCAATTTATGTATTTCTGTCAACATAATGGTGTCTTTCCAGCACGAATAAATTCTTTATCTACCTGAACAATGCATAGATAATGCTGAATTGGATCCTTACATGCACCTCATTTCGTAAAATTTTAGATAAAAATTTTGTGTATGCTTCACTAAAAAATAAGTAATTTAAAAAAGCATGCATATTATTGAAGCCAATTAAATTGTAAACTTATCATAAGCCCTTACGTCTTTTTAGAAATAATGCGACTCACTGCTTAATTATGGAGATATTTCGAAAAATGTGCATTCGCGAGGTTTAAGCGGTCAAAGCGGAGGAGAAGCGGAGGTTTAAGAGTGTACATCGCAGAGGTCGACGCCGCCGACGCCGGTAGTATTTTAGGCGCCGCCGACGAAAAATTTGGTTTCCTATACCTTCAACATTGGGACGCCGCGCCGCGCCGCCGACGCCGCTGAAAAATCACCAAAAACTGGCGCCGCCGCCGCCGAAAATTTGTCGGCGTCGACCTCTGGTACATCGTAAGTTTCTTTTGAAATGACAAACGAGGCAATTAATTTCATTTGACAAAGAGACCCAGGTCTGCTCTCCCGTGACCACGACAACTCGTACAAATTCCCATGAATACTTTTCTGTATTTTTTTTCCAAAAACCAAATTTTTTAGAATTCTCCTCCCTTTCAATTGAACAACATTGTTTATTGCCACAGATATGTAAATATATGTATGCTAAAGCAATAAATACACCTGCAAAACTAGGTAAATTATTGATATGCTTGATAATTTAATTATTTCCATGTGTTTTACGAAATTAAGTCAATTTTCGTCAAATAACATATTTATTTAAGGCCCTATTAAGTTTCTAATCCTATTTTCTAAGCCAAAAGTAAGGCCGAGATTATTACTTTCTGTTCTATATTTAAGAGAACCTTCCTAACCTAACCGCATAACAGGTACGGTGTAACACATAAATACAAAAATACATAGATTATTAAGTAACTGCGAAAGCAATACATATTTTGTATCCAATAAAATGTCTTTAACATCTAACATAAATCACAATGTGAATTAAATTGTGCAAATTTACCCACAATATTAAATTATTGCTGTATTTATCAATGTGCACTCACACTAATTTGGTAACGGATCGACACCGCGTGGAGTTACTATGGTAATTCTGCATAGGATCGTTGATTTTTATCATCGAACGGTAACAATAAATTCAAATTTGTAAAAAATTCAGGTAGAACCTTTATACAGATGCGTACCGAATTTTAATTTCGTTGAAATTATTGATATTAGAGAGGTTGAGCAAGAGTACATGATTGCATTTTTCGATTGTAAACACAGCGGGAAAATCAAAATTAGTCAGACTTTTAGTCAAACTCAGGATTACAAATCTCCGTCTCCAGGCAGCATTGTATTGTACTCATATATCCAACTTACAGGAATTTCAAATCTGCCGCCGGAAATTAATGAGAATTACAATCCTCCCATAAGATATTCTTGCTCAACCTCAAGAAAATACAATCATAGATTGCGATTGTGATTCTAGCTACAATCATTTTTTTACAATCTTGTACTCTCGCTCAACCTCTCTATTGTTCGGTATCACATTGTAATCAACACTGTAGAGACCCATTGCGCAGTGACGGTGGAAGTTGGGGGGACACGTGGGGGCATTAGCAAGGTGGGATAGGAGAAAGAAGGGCTTATTAACATGGGCAAGATACGATTTTGGCGAATTTCTTGGGGGACAAGATCCCGCTGTTCCCCTGCTTCCGCCGCCACTGACATTTTGACTCCTCATGGTATTCATTCGTTACCAAATTATTTTGAGTGTGGTGTTAGCCTGGCTAAATTTTCTCCAAGGGCTGTGGCATCTCATTTTTTCACAATATTGCGTAAATTTTGCACAAATTTATGTACAGAAAAGTCTATGTATGTAAGCCAAATAATTTGGATATTCATAACTCCAGAGTTTTTCTTATTTTTTGAGAAGCTGGTTAGCCTTTTCGTTGGCGACATTTATCCTCGTCACGTTTGACTCGGCCTAGGAGAGTAGAATGATAATTTGTAAACCATTGTCTAATCGCCCTTGTAAAAAGGGAATAAATTTAATGTGTAAGATTACCATCATGTTGATCCTATCAATTTGATTATTTTGATTTCCAATCTCTCCCCCCATGTCGATTGCCATATTTCTCAAATTTCCCACCATGATGGAAACTTCGTCCATGTTTTGCTCCATCTCGTCTTCCCGGGCATCATTCGAATACCTGTGGGAGTAGTTAGAAAGTTGTAGTGTTTAATTTGTACGAGGGGTTCCTAAATACATAGTATTTTGTGTTTTTTTGAGTCCAAATACACATGTTTTTTGTTTTACAAATTTCTTCCAAATACATATAATGTGAGGTGTTTTCAGAATAATATTTCTACTCTTAATTATTTAGTAGCTTCAGCTACTTTATGCGAGGACTCTGTCTGTCTGCTTGTCAGCCAGATAACGGGAGAATGGAACGAGATATTCGAAATCTGTTTTCGATATGATCCATATATATACCCCAGTGGAAGGATACCACCCAATCAACTTTTGGGGCCAACCGGACAACCCCCCTCGGGCCAGAGGGTGTGGTCGGAGCAAGATGAGACTTTTACAAAAATTAATTTATGAATGAAGTATAGTGAAATCAAGTCTTCGCGCGCAGTCGTAGACGTGGTTGGGGTCAAAGTATTCTCTAAAACGTAGCTGAAGCTACTTCTTTGTTTGCGGTTTATTTCCCTTCTTACTTGGAAATGAATCCTCCATATGTCGGAATTCCTGCCCCGTCCAGCCCTCTTCCCGGACCTGGACCCCCACTTCCTCCTACGCCATCATCGTTCACCTTGAACATGGCTTCGTCCTTTGATTTCCTGGAAAGCAGAGTTGGAAGTTAAGAAAATCATCCCCGCAAAGTAAATTATTCACTATAAGTTACATAATAACTCACCCAGCACAGATAACAGAAAGTGGGGGACAGAGGCCAAAACAGCAACCACCCATTCCTTGCATGGCTTTTTCAGCCTCCACCATGTCCTCGTTGATGTCATGCATCCCCTTCTCGATGTTGTCGAGCTGCTCGCCTTGATCATCCAGGGCGACGAGGGTCTTAATCCCGGCCTCTTTAGCCTCCTCACACAACAATTTCATCCTCCTGGTACTCGACAAGGACTAAATATTCAAATTATTAATTGGCAACGTCCCTATTTATCGTCATGGACAACATATTTATAAATATTCCAACTGATGAATGGTCCCTTAAAGGGAAGAATTTATTACAATTCAATAACAACTCTTCGAAACGGGCTATATTTAAGTTTGCAACTGTATGGAAAAAAATTAGGTATGAATTCATACCGGAGTCTTTAACCACGTCTCCCATCAATGATATGGATTTGTAACATGTTAGTGCCATGTTTTAGTGAGGCAAATACATATGTATGTATGTATTTCTAACTTTTCTGTACAGAATCAAGTCAAACTAAAACTTGGTACACTAACATCTTATATAAGCACGACGTCAAAAATTCAAACATAGTATTCCAAACTAGCGTATAAGCCCGTCTCCCACCGGGCGACGAGCTTATTTGATTTTGATGAAAATTAAGTGGGATTGTTCATAATTTCACCGAATTTTTTTTATTGTATCTATATTATTAACTGAAAAGTCTGTTGGCAAGGGAAGTGAAACTCTCTCCAATTCAGTTTCCGTCACGGATAATATCTATCACTTCCGTTGCAGACAAACATTTCCCGCTTATAATATAGATTTTACATATTTTAGGGATTTTGAGTATATTTACCTATTTTCCTACATATTTCGAGGTTTTTATGTAAAAATATTTTTCTTCATGCAGAAGTTTTGGTTTTCTCAAAATTATATTTCCACGATAATTGAGTTCAATTCTTGTGAACGAGTATTTAGCAAATCGGATTTGCTCCATTTCTTCAAACTAAAAAAATAGTCTAGAATATAGAAAAATATCATTCATCATTAAATGAAAATCTGAATGTAATTCGGATATAATTCTGTTATAAGAGTATTCAAAATTTGAATCTTCTCCAGGATAAAGTTGGCAGATGGTGGGACATTTAAATTGAAAACATTTTTTATGTGTATATATATTTTCGAGTTTTTTTAAGTACATACATACATACATACTTATTACACATATTTTGCGGAATTTAAGTACATACATACATATCCGCCCTCTAGAAATTAGAGTCTATGGATAGCAGATCATCAGCAAAGTGGTGATAAATTAAGTTAATACGAGATAAACACAAACAAACTAATGTCCGTTTGGCTACACCAGGTTTTTTGCATTGTCAGTGGATATATAATATTCAGAGGGTTGACATGTATGTGCGTAAATTTCGCGAAATATGTATGTAATACGTGCTTAAACAACCTGGAAATATGACAATTTTTCTTAACTTAAATGTTCTACTATATTTATGAAACATAATTTTGAGGAAACCTTAATTTCCGAACGAAGAAAAATATTTTCACATATAAAACTTCGAAATATCTATTATACATAATATTCATATTTAGAAAAATATGTACTCCAAATATACAGGAAAATATGTATATATATGTACCAAAAATTATCGAAATGTGTGTGAAAATGTGTCATACTACAATATGGAAAATATGGAAAAACATGTTTGAATTTTTGCGATCGTGCTTAGATGGGATGTCAGTACACGAAGTTTTACGATCTGACTTGGTATGAAAAAGTTACATGCAAATACATACATATGTATCAGCCGTCTGATAATATTGTAACGTGAATGCATTCAGTGGGATTACATAAGGCTGACTTTTCCTGCCTGACCGATGCACAGTACTGGTTATAATGTTTTACAGAGAAAAGAGAGTAGGGCAGGAGGGGGAGAAAGACGGATCGATAAATCTGCTCAAATTTCTCTGCAACTTTCTCTCTCTCTCTCTCTCTCTCACTGTGCAAAATGTCTCGCCCTGTATTATGATATGCATTGATGGGAAATCCCTTTAGAAATTCACAACAATAAAATAATATGTATTTACCTCATCCGTGACTTGACTAGCCTTCAACTGTAAGGATTCCGCTTCATTTCTAGGTTGCGTTGGACTTTCTGGGGGTGGCGGAGGCATTTTCTGAAATTATAAAAATAACTGGTAAGACTAGAAAAAATAGGAATGTCTAAAAAAATTAAATCTAACTGACAATAGGGGTCTCCCAACGTATGCTCACAGACTTGGACGAAACTAACTAAAGTTAATTGATCACAAATATAATTAGTACGAAATTTGCAAATGGTACTATCTCCAATGCTCAAGTTTAGCGGAGACATTTGTATAAAAGAGGAGAAAACAAACCGAATGGCTGACAAATTTTTCATGTTCAAAATTATCTGCGAATTTTTCCCACTTTGGATGCAAATATTTCCGCCAAACCTGCGCATTGGTAGATAGTTCCATTTGCAAATTTTATATCAATTATATTTGGGATCGATTGACACTAGTTTGGTCCAAATCTGTGAGCATACGTTGGGAGACCTCCTTTGTAAGAGAAAGATAGTATAAAATGAGAATTATTTGACCACAACTCCTAATCCATTACTTAGATGGAATTATGAAAGTATTTACAAAAAATTGTGATCTCACAGTGTTGAAAACCTTACCAAGTATGCACGCCAAAAAGGACACTGACACTTAATAAACCAATATATTGAAGGAAGATGGGATTAATATTTTTTATAAAAAATGTTGAGCAAATCCAAACCAGATCAAATTGAGCAGAGCTGGACCGAGCTCCATGCCAAGGCTACGCGAAGGACACTGCGGCAAAAGTCGTGGCTGAGAACGGAGTGTTAAAGACACGAGTCGGAACGCGAAGAGAAAGTATCGTGCTCGTGAGCAATGTAATAACAGGGTTCCCGTATCTTCCCTTTTCCTTGTTTATTTGTCGTTTGTAGGAAAATCGTTACATCCGATGGTGTGAACTGTAACCCTCAGATTTGGTTGAAATTGTGAAATTATGTGGTCCAAGCCAATACAACCAACTCTTCTTCAGGTAGTTTTTGCAATGGTCAGAATTTAACAAAATATTTGAGCTTAAAGTTGAAAAATGTGCAATTTTTAGTACTGCACTTTTAGCACTGTATTTTAGGCAAAAGTTGAAAAACGATCGATTTTTTGCAACCAATTTTCTCATCTTCTTCTACATGTTTTTATAATGAATAGCAGATAGCATTCGAAATATTGACAAAATAAAGCAAATTCTTCTTTTTCTTAGAATTTTCCACTAAAAGTTCCGTGTAATCCAATTATTAAATTTTTTGCACTCGGATGAAGCAAACTCAACTTCCATTCTCTTCCCGTGCTAAAAATTGCATACCCCTACTTCACAATTCGTGCATCCCAAACGAACACTACAAACTTTCTCCCCCACTCCTTGATGGGGAAGGGAAAGAGAAAAATCAATATCTCCCATATCTGCTAAATATTTACTTTCACGAACACATGTTCTTCACAATTGCAGCAAGTAAATCTGTCATTTGGAAATACTTACATGCATGCATCATGTAGCAAATTTCTGCACAATTCTGAAAATATGTGGTGGATTAATATGTATGTACATAATTCTTACGTCGGGGTAAGTGAATTTTTAACTATATGTATAGATTGAATAAATAACATATTTTAGTAAATAATTGCGCAATAATACATAAGTAATATGTAAATGTACATATCATCACCGAGAAAGCCAACTTATACTGAATAAACTACTCTGCCTTTTTTTACTTTTATCACACAATCACATGGAATTTGAGTCTCTCAAATTATTTAAGACTAGCTTAAAAGCCCGTCTCCCCCCGGGCGAGAGCTTATTTAATTGTTATGAAAATTGAGTGGGATTGTTCATAATTCCATAGAATTAATTTTTGTTATATTGCACAGGAGGTGGTTATCTGGGGGTGGTTGTCTGAGGATTATCTTGGGTGGTTATTTGGGAGTGGTTCTAAATGAAAAAAAAATTGTATTAAATTATAATTTTTGCTCCGTTCAGAGCTTAACTTTCTCCACTTTCACTTCCGTTTCTGAAAATTACTGAGGCTTCCGTTGCCAACAAACACCTCCAGCTTATAATATAGATGTTTTTATAAAATTTGATCATTTTTTACAAGACCTCTCCTTGCTTTAAGTAAATACACTGTATTTAGTAGCGATGTATTATTATATGTATATATGTACATATATTTACATTGTCATGATTAATTCATATAAATATGTATGTATTTTTAGGGATGTAAATACTTGAACATTCTATTTCGTATTAAAGGTTTTTACTTATATAATACACCATTTTGTAATAGTATCAAGTGAGTACATGTTCATTCATATTATACATTTTAGAATAATTTAATTGAAATTTACTTGTTTTCACGTATTTTGTGTTTATGCAGGCAGATGATAGATTATTAAACCGGTCGCCGCTCCAAAATTGTCCGAATTAACTTAGTTTGAAGTGTTTTATTTCTTTCAAAAAGTAAATGTTGAGATTTTATATTAGAATACACATTACTCGAGCTACGAATAATTGTCATTGACAACGACATAGGACTAATAAATTTAAGACAAAATAAATATTCAAAACTGTAAACAGTACAACTAATCTTTGATTCTGTAACACTATTAGTAAAATGCATGAAGGGGTTGTTGTGGGTTTTGCACCTCCAGATCAGGTCGTTTAGTATTTTGTAATCTAGATCAGATATTTTAAGACCAAAATAACGTGAATCGGTTAAGAAATAACAATAATTTTGAAAACGTAGCATTTAATAAAATTATCCCGGATGCAAATATTGAATGGGGTGGTGCAATCAATCATCCCATTGACATCCTGATTAAAAGTTATCAATAAAAAACGGTCCCAAAAAAGGGGAAATCTTAGTGAGGTAGTGCAATCATAAGTAATAAATAAAATTAGATTGCAGAATTTTTGCATCACCGCTCTCGCTACCATTTTTACCAGATATAGTATAAATTTTCCTTTGCAACCGCATGAATTTTTAATTTTATTCAATAAATTGAGGAAGAAAAGCATTTTTACTGTGCAGCGAATGAGAAGTGGGTTAAATTAACTGAGATAGATATGTAAAATATAATGGCCAAATAAATGTGAACTACTTATTTGTTGGAAAAAGATATAAATTCATAATTTCAATTTAACATATTAATTTGGTGATTCTATTCAGACAAAATCGTCGGACGTTTTGAGGGGGCAATCGTTCTATTTAAACGATTAATGCTTCCAGTAAAAAATTGTACCGAGAGAGATGATGCAAAAATTCTGCAATCTAATTTTATTTCTATTACTTATGATTGCGCTACCGCCGCTACCTCACTAAGATTTCCCCTTTTTTTGGGACCTTTTTCATTCGAAATAAAAAACGCATAATTTTGAAAATTGTTGAAATCATGCACCTTTTGAATTTGACTTTCTCTTTGCAACTAAGCATTTTTTAGTTTATACAGATTTTTGTAGGATTATGCGATTTTTTAATTAATCAACATTTTAAAAGCTATTAATTTGTTTGAGAGCTTGCAATTTTTGGACAAATTTTTTAAAAGTATTTGAAATTTTCAAAAATATATATATATTGGACTTGTGAAAGCGCGGCAAAAATTTGATAAATGTATGCTAGCACTAATAGTAAAAGTGGAAGGGTTCAAGCAAATTACCTTCATCTTCTTTTAAAATTAGTTTCTGACTTTTTCCTCTCCCAAGAGGGTCCACATTTTCATCATTAAACTTCAGCCAAGCTCCCGTTCTTAGATCCTTAATTTGGGCTGTAGATTATCGTTATTAATACCAACATCAAAATAGTTATATGCATGTGTATATTTGTATGTTGATTTTGGTCTGGAATGGAACGAGAGTAACAAAACATTATAAAAAATTACCAATATAGTGTCCTGACGAAGTACTAGGTCCATTGTGAATTAAGACAGCACTTAAATGATAAGTTAATGTATCTATTTTATTCTCGGAACTTTCTTCTTCGGTCACCCTTGATGTCATGTCCAAAACCTCAGGAAACTGAATAGATGTTGTGACCTTTTTCTTCCTCAAAGTTTCCCTGTTAGAATATTCAAGTAGCATTATTACTTACTCTTCTTCCCCTTCTTATATTAATTAATCGATATTCAGTATGCAATAAATAAATAATATCATCAAATAATAAATGTCCATACCTATCAAACACAAATCTCATCAGTTGCAAATTTAAGACTGGTGGTAGTTTGAGTAGTTTTGTTCGACGTATGGCATCATTTTTACTATCACACACGGAACAGAAATACTGTTCTGAAAGGGTCAAGATTTCTTCTTTTAGTAGGTCATCCAAGGATTCGTTCAAATCCTTCCGAACTCCAAGACCCAAGAACCCCAAGACCATACCAGGCCCATAAATTTTACGGCTCTGCGCCCTCCTCCCCGCAAATATGTCACCGATGGACGAAAAGTGACTTTTACACGAAAATCGCGTCACTGTCTATAAAAGTCATTTAGGGTATGTATGTACATATTCTGGGATAAATGGCCCCTTTAGGTTCGACCGAAGGGCTCACACTAATCAAACGATATCAATTAATTTTAACATGTACGTAGTATACATAATAATACACTCTTAGCAAAACGGTATTGAATCATCACCAAACGGGGAGCCCACATGACTTAACCAAATTGTGATAATATTTACCCCACATTGTGATAAATCTTCCCCACAATGTGTAAACGTAACACTGGATAGTGAGGATTTAACACATTGTGGGGTAAATATTATCACGATTTGGTTAAGTCATGTGGGCTCCCCGTTTGGTGATCATTCAATCATACTTTCCCACCACCCCAGAGGCCAGGTAGGTCTAACGCTGAATTCATATGCAGGTCAAACCAAGCCGAGTGGATGTGCGCTTCGCGCACATCCGTTCCGTCCCCTTAGTCACTGACCCTTGTGGACATGTTTATTCAAGATTTTTTTGCGTTTTATTTTCAAATTACAAAAATTTAAAGTTTTCCTGTATTCTTTTAGATTACCATGAGCATTCTTAATTAGGTAACGGTTTTAATTTAGAAATATCCCGAAATTCATTCTCAGTGTAATTTTTCCTAAGCAATTTTTTATCACTAACCCTCCGATTTCGTTTTAAAATTCTTGAAATTTTAAAATTATGTGGTCCAAGTCAATACAAGTAGCGTATCGTGAGGCAGTTTGTGCGATGGTTCGAATTTGGCAAAATATTTTTACCAAGCGGATTAAGCTGACCCCACTCCAATTCCCTTCTGAAGGGCAAAATCTCCCATTTTTAAACATTGACCTTAAATATTTTGACAAATTCGAATCATCGCACAAACTGCCTGAAGAAACGCTACTTGTATTGACTTGGACCACATAATTTTAAAATTTCGAGAATTTTAAAACTAAATCGGAGGGTTACATTTCACACCATCGCATTGTTAGTATTTTTTTTCGCCCTTAGTCAGTTGCCTAACCAAGAAAAATACACTTCCAAAAATTTTTAAAGTTCGAAATTTGTTTGCTAAATACTTCGGAATTTTAAAAGTTCATAAAACGAGAAATTTAAGAATTACTCCATGTAATTCTGAGCCCACAAGTTGCTCAAGTTTAAAAAAATTGGGGAAGTTAAAGCGCCTAAAAAACCTCTCGATTTTGGCAAAAAATTTGCATAATTACAAATTCCGTCACAAGAAAAAAACGCACATTCAAAAAATCGGGAAAATATAGGTCAGCCTTTTTCTGTGCGCAAACAATTTAAAATTAGTCAGTTGAGCTATTTAAATGTAACTTATAATATTTTAATCTGAAGCTATGGACTGGTCACTGAAAGAAAGTGTCAAGTTATTTTGACTTGCAAAAAATGAACGCAAGAATCAAATGCAATGAAACAGTTTCATTGAAACTTTTGTGCAGATGACCAGACCGAAGTTTCTTTATCCTTCAATGGTCCAAATATCCCTTCCGTACCGGTGGGGAGAAGACTTTACCCCTCATGACCGTTTTCCTCACCAATTCTATGATGATTTTCTCCACAACCCGCCGAAATTTTTCCAAATTTTTTGGTGCCCTTTTTTCCGAGTATGTTGTTTCTCAATTAATGCCCAAAATCTTTCAATGGGCAGACATTGAGGCACGTTTGGAGCGTTGTCTTTTTTCTCGACGAAATCAGTTGTTTTCCTCGATACACTCTTTCAAACAAAGTTTTCCACTTCCTCCAAATTTTGTGCTGTCATTTTTTAACGAAATGAGATAATCAAATGCCATTTTCAGTTTTAGAAAGCTTATTAAATTTACCCCTTTTTCTGTTTTTTACATATTCAAAATTAATTTTTAACTGGTCGAACCAATTGAGGGAACCATGACACTTTCTTTCAGTGACCAGTCCATAATTTCTGCTACTACAGACAAGTCGATGAAAAAAAATAGCCAATTCGTTTACCATTTTTCGCAATAAATTTCAAATTTCCCCAAAAATGAATTCGACTTTAGAAATAGGATTTTAAAACATTGAACAAGGCTTGAGACTAAAAACTCCATGACGAAGATATGCGGCCTTCAAGCGCTTTAGTTTGTTATGCATAAAGTGACGAGGGATAGTTGGACGTGCAGGTCGCCTTCGGCGACCTGCAAGTCCACCCAGCACTGCAGCTCGCCGAAGGCGACCTGCAGGTCTATCTCCAATTTTTTCCGTATGCAGGTCTACGCTTCCCGTGCGGGTGGGTGGTGGGAAAGTATGCATTCAATACCGTTTTGCTAAGAGTGGAGGTTATAATTATTATATATGTAAATATTGTTTATCGCTTCCTTGATAACCGCATATAATGCATAACAAATAACAAATTGTATAACATGATCAACTGATAATAAAATGATTTCATTTGCACTTGATAACACGGCCCACTTGAACGTTGGGTGCAATTTGCTAAGGACAAAATCCAGCCCAGTCCCACACCCAAATTGCAAATAGAAACTTATCTGTCGGCATTCTCAATTCTTAAAAGTTTTCATAAAATCATGCCGAAGCAGTGTGATTGCCCCTACCCGGTAAAATATCGGACTGAAGTCAGCCAAGAATTTAAACGTCCCTGGACCGGTCACACGTTAAACGGTGTCCACGCCCTACTTTGGGTGGGCCTTTTCGTCCTCGTGTTTTACAACATGCTCGTCTACCACACGTATTTGGAGAACACGTCAAACATCTTGGCGGACATTGATTCCACCGTTTCGGGAGCGTTGTACACGTCAGATCCAGAACTGCCTCCGTTGTATAAAAGATTCTGGGACAATCCGGACCTCGTTACGTGAAAAACTGTTCACTTTCATTCATTCAACGAGAGCGAATAAATTATTTATTCATTGTCCAATAAATTCGTGATAACGGGGGAATAATTCTTTCAAAAATTTTGAGTTAATGAATATTAAATAAATATTTATTCAATTCTCAATCGGGTATGAAGAACGAATGAATAATTTTCAATTATTCATTTCTCTCTTACTATATATTGAGAAATACGCGAGATAAGACGAATTTTAGATAGGATGAATCTGGAATGAATATTAACTTTTAAATTTAGAATGCATGAATAATTTTTTCTAATTGTTAGATTGAATAAGTTTTGAATAAAGAAATATTTTTGAACAGGTAGTCTCCTCGCATGAGTCAAAAGATGGCGAATCGCTGATCCGAACTAATCTGATTATCACACCGAATCAAACTAGAGGTGTGTGTTTGGAGGATATAAACGTTCCTGGGGCAAGTTGCGAATCGGATGGGGATTGTCCACCCGGGAAAATATTAGGGCCAGATGGACATGGTTCCTTAACGGGGAAATGTGTGGATACACTGTGTCAAATAAATGCTTGGTGTCCGACCCCATCGTATCAGTTGCCGCTTAAGAATGGAACCTTGTTTAAGGTAGCTTGCACCCAAAAATCGTCAAAGGAAGCATATTTTTTATGGTTTCTTAGGATCTAGGAATTTATTTTAAAATTCTGGTCGACAAATTTGCAGCCAGTAAGCTGGTTAAGGTTCCCATGGATGACGCGTTGGCGCGTAATCTCACTCTGCCCCTACCCAATGTATACAAATGCAATTTGTAAAATCGAATCAACTCCATGAGTTTTGAGATAAATGCAACTTTTGATATTTTAATCTAAAGCTAATTTTTGGTACTACAAACAAGTCGACTTGAAAAAAATAAAAAATTAATTTTCGAGGAAATTTATTTTGAAAAATTGGCAAACGAATTTTTAAATTTTTTAAAAACGGCCGTGAGGTTTTTCCTAATTTCGATGAGTTCCAAATTTTCGGTAGGTTTCTTAAACTTGAGATTTATTCCTTCAAAAAGTGTTAAAATCTGGTGTGTATATTTTTTTTACAAAACCTGAAGAAACTACTGTACTTGCCCTACAAATTTGTCGTCCAGAATTTTAACATAAATTCCTAGAGCAGAGGAACGATTGAAAATGAGGTGACGATTTAGACGATTTCGGTGATCAATAATTAATTCCTGCTTTTAGGATGTTGTAAATTTTACCGTCACGATAAAAAATACGGTTCGGTTTCCTGACTTTATGGGAAGCGGAGGTTTCGCGAATAATTCGGCACTAATGGAAGGCGAGACATGCCTGTATCACAATGAGACGAACAAGTTATGTCCAAATTTTAGGATTGGGGACATTATTGAGTATGCGGGGGGTGATTTTGACAAAACAGCGATTCATGGGGGTGTTCTAGCAATAAATTTGAACTGGGATTGTGACCTCACGTGGGGCAAGGGGATGGAAGATTGCAAGTTGGTGTACGACTTTTCTCTCCCCAGTGGAGAAAATTTGATCAAGTTAAGAACCTTGGGGGATAAGAGGGGATACGAATTCAGGTGAGTTGTTATTAAAAAAATACACATTTCGTCGTTCAGAATTCATTAATTTTTAAAGTTAATAAATTACAAATAAAGAAGGCAATCATTGTAAATCGGGATTAAGGGATGAAATCCCTTAATAAGATTGCTATGTCCGTCTGTCTGTCTGTCTGTCCGTCCGTCTGTATGTCCGTCTGTATGTCCGACCGTCTGTCTGTCTGTCCGTCCGTCCGTCTGTCTGTCCGTCCGTCCGTCTGTCTGTCCGTCCGTCCGTCTGTCTGTCCGTCCGTCCGTCTGTCCGTCCGTCCGTCCGTCTGTCTGTCCGTCCGTCTGTCTGTCCGTCCGTCTGTCTGTCCGTCCGTCCGTCTGTCTGTCCGTCCGTCTGTCTGTCTGTCCGTCTGTCCCTCTGTCTGTCCGTCCGTCTATCCGCTGGTCTGATAGGTTCTGAACGGAATTTTGAACGTAAACTCCAACGTCAAGGGACCGGACGAGTTCGAAGATGGACACTATAGGTCCTACCCTTCAAGGTCAAGAGGTCACACAATGTCATTTAAGTGGAAAATTGCATATACATGTCATTTAATAGGAAATTTAATTCCGATTTTTATGGTGACCTCCATTTTGCCCTTAAAGGTCTCAAAGGTCACATAAAGGTCATCAACTATTGAAAAAACGCATTTCATTTTGAACTGAAATTTAACTCACTTCCGATCTCCATTTTGACATCAAACGTCTCAAAATGGTTAACAATTGCTAAATTGCTACAAATATCGAAAAGCGTTAGATGTGTATCAATTTTAACAGATTGTGAACACTGAATGCGATAACTGCGAAACTTTATTGATCTTTTAAGAATTTTGAACCGGAAAAAACAATATGCTCTTCATTTTAACGTATAAAACACTTATTTTACCCCTTGTTTACATTGGTTGCAACGGTTTGCTAAACTTTGTATTTTCTAATTCATTTTTTAAAAAACTATTTCTGATTTATGGCATAGCACGAGCATATACCACGAGGACGATCGAAGGACACATATTCACAGCTACGGGCTGAAAATCATTGTCAACGTGCAAGGAAAAGCGAGAAGGCTGGATTGGCAGAATGCCATCATACAAATTGGATCTGGTTTTGGCTTAGTGTCCCTGGTACATAAGTGCTGATACAATCCATGGAATTTGATAAGCCAAAAAGTTACAGCTGTATGATTTTTATCTGTCGAATTTTTAGGCGGGTTGGATAGTCACTTTTGTCACGTGGGTTTGTTGCTGGATGTCGGGCGGTAAATTTCATGCAAAAAATACACTCGGACAAGAATCGGCTCCTTCAATTTTAAGCTCTTCGCTTGGATCGGTGGAGGACTTAAGTCGATCTTCATCTCACGTTTTCCAAGGGACCAACAGTGCCACAAGTGGGGCAACACATGCCTCTTCCTCATATGAAGACCATTCCACACGGGCTGCAGAGGTATGTATGAAGTACTTATACTTACAATGGAGGTCTCCCAACGTATGCTCACAGATTTGGACGAAATCAGTGTCAATCGATCACAAATATAATTAGTATGAAATTTGCAAATGGAACTATCTGCCAATGCGCAGGTTTGGCGGAGATATTTGCATAAAAAGAGGAGAAAACGCACCAAAAGGCTGGCATAGTTTTCATTTTCCAAATTTCCTGCCCATTTTTTCTGCTTTGGATGCAAATATCTCCGCCAAGCCTGGGCATTGGCAGATAGTTCCATTTGCAAATTTCATACTAATTATATTTGTGATCGATTGACACTAATTTCGTCCAAATCTGTGAGTATACGTTGGGAGACCTCCATTGTTAGTATAAGATATATAAACTCGTAAATTTTCCCAATATTAAGTAAATTAAGCATAATTCTAATGTTGGAGCTAATTATACTGTTCGATAACATGTTAACGTTTCTTCTAGACGGAACGTCTCATACAGGCAAAAGAATAACCGCCTGGTCTCAATTTACACTGTAGGACATCAGCAAAAGAATTAACAATTTTTAGTAAAACAATTTCTATTTCAAATACATAAAACTTCCCAAAAGTCATTGCCATTTTCCAATTTCTTGTCTTCAAAATTATGCATTAGCTCTACATATTAATTGCAATTGCTTATGTACATATTCAATATATGTAAAGCATTGAAAATCCCGAATAAATTAGTTATGCATGTTTTACTTATTTCAATTTCTAAGAGAAAACAAATTAGTAATCAATAATTAAAAATTCTTCGCATACATATGTACGTTAGAAGAATTCTGATATAATATGTATGAAGAGGCAAGCGATTGTGTGGATTAGAATTCGATGGTAATTATAAATAATCGGGTTAAAATTGTCCGTTACTTCGAAGGGATTAGATTACATATTATCGTTTTTTTAGAAGCTTTTAAAGAGAAGCGACATCGATCTGACAATTGTGAGCATAATTGAGTTTCTTTACTTCATTTTTTACATACTTATTTTGGCGTTTTTTCATAAACATAAAATATATTTATTGCAGCAATTTTTCGCTAATATGTACGTATCCACCCTCTTATTATGTATGCAGCTTATAATTAAATAGTATTCGATCTGAATCATGTGGTAAACTAGAATGGTGCACTTGCGTTCTGGAACCTCACTTATTTCGGGCGAGTGCACCAAGTCGCATTGTTCTTGTTCGAAATGTGTCTCAACCATTGGCCGGATTCTGTCAAATAGAAGAAGATATACGGTAAGGAGAAAATCGTAGTGGAGAGTATTTCACATTTAATTTTAAATTTTTTTATAAGATATGTAGATCGGAAGAATTGAAGTCTCCGATCCATAAACGTAGTAAATTGGTCCATCATGTTTCAACACGTATTTCGTCGAACAAGGAACAATTTTTTTGTGGTCAAAGGTCCATAATTCTGCAGTAGACCATCGCGTGATATGTTCCCATCTGGGAAGTTAAGGATGTGCGTGATTACCCGTCGTTCTAAAGTAGACGCCCGGATTGGCCGCTTGTCCACAGCTGTCGCCCCAACTAACGGCGGCAATCTGATACCAACTTCGGTCCTTTTCCTCAATTACGAGTGGAGATCCGCTATCGCCCTAAAGATAGAATTACTTATCAGTATCATAGAGAATTAGCATAAAAAAGTGATGTGGGATACACTCTTAAAAATACTGTTACTGTCCTGTGGATTCGTAACGGTAGTCTGAATTTTAATTGAAGTAAACTACAGAGTAAACTTTACTCTTCATTAAGTTAACGTTACTCTGATGACTTTCAGAATTTAGAAAGTTTTTACTTTTCAAATGGGTAGCATATTTTTTTAGAGTGTAAATTTAAACAAAAGACTTACAGAGCACGAATCCGACCCGCCATCTTTGAATCCGGCACACATCATTCTCCTGTTAACCCGGACACCGTACAACTCCTTGCATTCGGACGGAGTGAAAACGTTGATCTGGAGTTTCTGAAGTTCTTCTGGAGTTCCGGGAGCATCAATGGCGGGTAGTCCCCATCCCGCCACGGTGGCCTTGTGATGGGTAAACGTTCTCATGTAGCTCAGCGGGAGTTCCGGCAGACAAATGGGGGAGACTGGGGGTGAAATGGAGGTAAAATTGATCGGAGTAGCGAGAAGGATGGCGGCCACGTCGAAATCGTTGGTGCTTTGGGAAATTATTCAAATTTATGGCGCGAATTAACCTTTGATCGATAACTCCAAACGACAATTTAAAATTAACATTTGGGTGTGTTCCACTCATACTCAAGGTTGGGAAAATTTCTTCATTCGTTATTCATTATTCAAAATTTGAGAATAAATATTTGTCCATTTTTCCCGTTTAGCTCATTTACTTAATTTCCTTATTAGATGGATTTCCAAGTATATCCCAGGTGTCAAAGGTAGCATAAAAATTAAGAATGAACAAAATTATCCATTCTTTCTTCATGAAGACGAAATGAATAAATATTTATTCGATATTTATTCATTAAGAACTTATGAGCCAATTATTGACTCGTTATTCATAATTGTATTAAATAGAGGGTGTCCTAAAAGTTTCCCGATGACTTTTCCACTCGATTTTTGTTGCTAGTTTTTACATCTGTGATTTTTATCGTGCAATTTTTTTTGCAATACGATACCAAAGGTAAAGTCTTCTCACAGGCATACGGGTTTGGGTATATTAGCATTATCCAGTGCAGGATGTGGTTGTAAGTGAACATAGGTAAATCTGAAAGAAGCTAGGATTGCGGAGCAATAAAAAATATTTCAAACCCAAATGCAGTTAAGATAGTTCGAGGACACTCTCTCCATAAAAAAAATGCTGATCTGCGTATAAAATTGCAAGGAAATCGGTTAGTTCTGCAATAAAAACTAGAGGAGCCTAAATTTTGCATTACGGCATTTTGGGAAGAATTTAAATACTTTGATAACTACTTCGAGCACCATTTCACAGTGACAAAGGAAGGTAGCCAGACATACAGGGGCCAGCATAAAATGCTTTTGAACCCACGTGATATAGGTTAAACTGCGCAAAACCGGTTTAAAACAAGGATTTTCGGCTATTTTGACCCCTGCGGAAGGCGTCGATAAGCTCATATACACAGATAAGAGCTTTATTAAATAGCATTGATAGTTCAATCCACAAGATTTGAGATCTAGAAAAACAAATTTGAAGGATGCCACATCCACGAAAAGACTGAAACATGACTTCGACATCTAAGTCACAGGTTGGTTTCGTAAAGTCCACACATTTTGCATAACAGTTTTAAGGCATGAATGCAAGAAATGGTGAATAAGGCCGGATTCTGCACATCATATTACGGTACTTTAAAAAAATATAGCAGTTTGAACAATTTGACCTCCTTGTAGTCGTAAGGTACACAGCCACAGAACGATACTATTATATCAATTCATTAGTGGTTGACAGGGAGAAACTTTTAGGACACACTCTAATGAATGAATACATAATTTCATCATTCCCCATTGAATAAATGGAATAAATTGAACAGGTACAAATATGGTGTCACTTACTCTGAGACGTAGAGCGGGTGGATGAAAACCTCATCCGCGATGAATCGCATGGAACCGTTGATAGCATCCAAACGAAGGAGTTCTTGCCGATCGGAATACTTTTTGGGAAGTGGTTTATCTCTGTAAAGAGTAGTTCAAGAAACTAAAAATTTTGGTATTTCGAAAAATGTGATAGCTCACTTCAAATATGACAAATTGGGTGTGGATTCCAAATAATGGGCATTAACCATAACCTCAATGTTACGAATGTCCAGGAATCTTCCTATGCATTAAGATGTTTAATTTGGAAAATACAAAATTGAAAGGATAACCGCGCCAATAAATTTGAATTTTTGCCTTTGAAACAGTGTCCCGCCGTTAAGATGATCCTATCGTTGATGATACTCCCGCCGCAAAAGGGTTGCCTCGTGTCCGCCTCGACTAGCGCGACAAGCCAGGGAAACTCGTGCGGGATAGCGACTCCTGCGCCCAAGAGGCGATCCTCGTTCGGCTTAACACCGCAACCTAAATAAGTAGGCAGTAATAAAACTCATTTGCAATTTAAATTCGCAATAACTACATAGTCATAAAAAATTTAAAATTGGGGAAAAGTGTGGAGACTGACAATTTGAGAAATTAGCGAATTCGGCACATAGTGCTGTTCACAGGTCGGGCTGCAAATGGACAGCAGCTCGGCTCGGTTATCAGCTCGAATTCGAGCTGATATTCCTTAGCCAAGCTGGCTTATTCGGGCAGAATCGATATATTTTCGCCGGGCTGAGGTACTGGCTCGGCTCGACTAGAATTTTAACGAGTTGGATCGAGCTTTGTCGAGTATTGAGAAGCAATTTAGATCAGCACCGAGCTGGCTCGGCTGGCAATATTTTTTTTAGCTCGGTTCGTTTAAGAACAAATTTGCGGTTTTTGACCGGCTCGGTTCGACTCATCGAATCGACCTGAGCCATCTCAAACTCGTGAACAACACTATTATCGCGTCAAGTAATTATGAGGAAGCCAGTGGAAATTAGAATACGTACGACAATCCGGGCTAATTTTAAGATTCAGCGAATCACTGGATAACGGGTTAGCCTGTTTTGATCCTCTCTTTCCACACGTGACACTGCAGTCCAATCTAACTTCCCGGTTTCCTTTTAAGGTGACGTACAAATCGCGCAAGTCCATCGAAGCGGTGACATCTTTGGGCACCTTGTCCCCGCAGTAAGTTTCCTCCCCGTGGACGCCGTCCGTTATGTGGAGCGAAGTAGATTCACACGGGACGGTGAAGGTGGTGCAGGTAATTGTGGGCAGGCAGGGTTCCGTTCCCTGGAGATTTTTTTGATTAAATATATTTCTAAGGTGTGTGATTTATGTACATAAATTCAAAACTCTTAAGTTATGTATGTATTAAAATGGAAAAATAGGATTTTCATATTGTCCAAATTTTGAATTACTGTAATATGTGTCAAACCATTTTTAATCGTTGCAAGTTAGACCAAAATAAATTGTCCAATGCGTTTATATAGAAATTACATTTGTTAATATGTAGTTCAATTGTACAGGGTGGTTTAAATGTCAGGTTACAATGGAAAATTTTTCGATGGGAAAAATTTGTAAATTTCCATTAGTTACGGATTTGGGCTTGCGATTTTTATTAATTTTTATCAAAACTTATGTACGGAAAACTGATGACAAAATTCTTAAAATATTGAATTTCAGAGGCAAAATTTCGGTGACTAATGGAGATTTGCGAATTTTTCCATTGAAAAATTTTCCATTGTAACCTGACATTTAAACCACCCTGTATATTTAACTGTGTTGATTAAACTCAGAATTTCGGATTTAACTAGATTTTGAATTCTTTTCCCGAGTTATAATTTTTAGTTTAATTTTATTTTTGACTCTAGTTGCGATTTGACATACCACGAAATTCCAGACGCAGGTGGGGTCCTGTCTCAGCCCGATGGACTCATTCGCCGTGAAGCGTGTCGTGGAATGGAACGGGGACATGAAGAGCGTTATGGCACAATCCATCTCAGAAATTGTGTGGCTATCTGTTCCCAATTATTTTAAAAGTTGATTTAATATCCCTAATTCCCAATGCTTGTATGAATCCGTGGGCCGTGCACAAAGCGTGGTATCAATCATATTTTGTTATTTCATGATTAATCTTGTCTTTGAAAAAATCAGGATTTATAAAATTCTTATGGCTGAAATGTACCACTCTTTATGCATGTTCCCTGCTTAATTGTAAAAACCTTTTAATATCCGTTTAAGGCGGACCGTGTCGTTGGCGAAGGCCTATTTTTTGTAACAAAAAAACATAAATTTTGTTTACAGAATTGGTTACTGAAAGTTTCCATATTTTTTTAAGGAAACCTTACATCAAGTCCGAGCAGATGGAGGGGAAGAATTCCAGGATTGAGAATCTTCCCTTTCAGTAAACCACTCTGCTGACCGCCCAGCAAACCACCGTGCACGACGGGGAGAAATATTAGCCAAAACATGACCGGAAAATAATGTGAAATTGTCGCTCTAAGAAAGAAAAACAGGATAAATTAATTCTAAACACAAACTTTCCGTTGTTACTGGGTTAGTAACTTTACAACTAAATGCATCACGAAATTTGGTAATTAATTTTAAAACAAAGCATGTTTTGTGGATGGTTAGTTTTTGTTAAGAGACAAAGGGCAAGGTTAGCTTAAAATTTACGGGAGGGATTGACATCAATATGTAAATGTTCATGCTATTTATTGAATAGAGTTGTACCTATATACATATTTATGTCATTTTTCTGTGAACAATGGCAAATAATTTTTGCATTCTCGGTTTGCAGTAGTAGTTTCGCTTTGCTTAAATTAATTGGAGGTTCATAAGACAAATTTTGTAGCAGGTTTCTCGTTATGCCAGGCTACAAATGCAACTATGTAGGCATTTAAATATTTACGTGTCCAGGACATTGCACAATTCTAGTCATGTATGTATAATAAAATAGTTATTTTATTTCAATATTAAAAATGTATGTATCTAATGTGCAGAAAAGTTGTGGTTTTTTAAATACTATTTTATTACTAGCTCGTGGAGGGTTTTTCTCAATTTAGAAAAAAATTATAAAAGTATTCATATGTACAGGGTGGTTAAAATGTCACGCTACAATGGAAAATTTTTCGATGGGAAAAAATCGTAAATTTCCATTAGTTACCGAAATTCTGTCTCTAAAATTCAACATTTCAAGAATTTCTTCATCAGTGTTCCATCAGTTTGTAATAATTTGATAAAAATCTCAACCAAAAATCTTGTAACTAATGGAGACTTAGGGATTTTTCCCACTGAAAAATTTTCCATTGTAGCGTGACATTTAACCCACCCTGTATGTGTATAACCAGTCTTTTTTAGGAGTATGGGTTGGGATGACGCGTTATATTACGACGAATTTATGAGACCTTTAAATTGCATTTTTACCCCGTATTTTGTGTGCACTTTGGCACCGTCATAACTCATTGTTACATACGAGGATAATGTGAAGATTAGGGATTTAAAACGGTAAATTTGATTCTGTAATCAATTTACGTTACGACGTCACTTTTGTTGGGCACATACATATTAATTTTATAGTGTTCACAAAACCTCTCCTTAAATGTTGTCCAGAAAATATACAGGGTACTAGCGTTCCCCCGTATATTAGTGACCATCTGTCTCCAGCCAATTTATGGTATGATTTTTAAAAGGAGTACCCGCCAGCTTACATAAGTTTAAAATTTGTTATCTGTATAAATAATGCAAATTCGCTAATTTAATTTATTAATTGTTTTAATACATGTGTTTAAAACGAAACGATGATTAATCTACGTAGAGTATGTATTTATGTGCAAAAATATTTATGAATTAGAAACTAGAACTTGAACCATAATGAAAAAATAATGGAAGTCAATGGCGGATTTAGGTATATAGATTTAAATATGAATGCAAATAAAAAATAAAAATTGCGACGTTTCCCATTTCATAAAGAATATCTATTTATTTTTACAACCTACAATTTTCGTTAAAATCAACGGCGGCATCTCTTTTTAAAATGTGGACAAACTTTTTTACCATGAAAACACAATAAATCTGCACTCCCAGGAAAATGATGCCCACGGCGAGAATGCAAAGTCCGGAGAATAATTCCTCCTCCGCGATGATCGTGATTGTGCAAATGATTAGAATTCCGATGGTGAGAAGGAAAATGGAAACGTAGCTCCACACCAGCCAGGGAAGGATTAAGCGGTAATTACGCTATTTATGAGAAAATTTAAAAAATGTTAGATATTAAAATTTCAACACTTAAAAAAGTTATCCCCCTTTTTTAAATAAATACAGACTGAATTCTATACCAAGTTAAGTGTACAAAATCCCGAGTAAACTTTGCTCCTTACATAAATACGTATGTATCTATGTAGATAACATTGCTCTACATTTAATATAGTTTAGAATTCAGAAGGAATTTACATACGTTTGAGAATTATTATTTTTAAGGGTGCCTCGCGTGTGAATGTAAATCTTTTTTCCTACGTAATTTACGCGATTCCCAAAATGTCACGACCTGGACATTGCACAAGTGTACTTACCAAACGGCACCCTTGTACCAGGAGACTAGCCGTGATGAAGTTGACAAGCCCCATGATAAGCGGGATAGAAACGAGCGCGATGTACCAGCCGCCTGAAAATTGTCAGTCTTTATAACGTATTCGGACATACTATGTACACATTTAGAAAGGATTACCCATATTGAAAAGTTATTGCAGTTTCAATATTATATTAATTAAGTAAACTACATATATGTACCAGGCCCAAAGTAAGTTTTACTTTTTAAACATAAAGTCAATGTCCCTCTGGATTTTTAGGATTAATATAGTACATACATATATAAATATATTTATATGACATACAATTCAGAGTGGATTAACTTTTCAAATAGTAAAACTATGTACATGTTTTTTAAGAATATGGGGATTGATGATAATTCATGATAAATCTTCGTACGGTATTCATGGAAGTAAGGGATCAAAACATCGTCGGGATGCTTGATCATGAAATTTACCCATACGGAGCTTTTGTACACTGTGCTGATTCCTGCAATCTGAAATTATTTATGAAAAAACGGATTGAAAAAAATTAGAAGGCAACAAATATTAAAAAATGAAATATTAAAAAAAATAACAATTATGAAATTAAGTACTTAAAAACACTAATTTACAGAAAAAAATAAAAAGTTGAAAAATATTAAAATTAAAAATATTTAGAAATTAAAAATAAATTAAAAATAAATTAGAAAAACAATTGTGAAATTGTTTATGGTCAAGGCAATATAATTAAAACTATTTTTAAACCAGAGAAATTAAAATAAAATGCAGACCAAATTTGTCATAACTTGCACCGTGCAGCACCCACAACAACAAATTGTCGACATTTTACATAAAAAGTTGAATAAAATTCCAAAGATTTCATTCACTTTGCTACTATTTTATTTAAAATCGACTACTTTAATAGGGAGCGAGGGGACTTCTTCCTTATTTGGACGATTAAAGAAAACTAAACTACTTCCTTCGCAGTGTAAGCAAAATGATTATTTTACTCGTGATTAAACCACCGGATAAAAAATTTGCATACGCTAAAATTTCTCTGTGTGAATCACACTGATTTTATTATCTGCATGGGGACCCTGCATAAAGCGTGTGGGCGATTTTAGACTTTACAATCTACAGGCTTCTCTTTTATTGTATGGATTCCGCGAGGGTTGGATATGAACATAGGAACTAAACAAATTTGTCAAGAAATTTACCACATTCAGTATGAACGGCCCCAAATCAATCTGCATATGGACATGCAGGACAGTACGTAATAAATAGTGCATGGCCTCATCCAAGCATGAGTAAGCGAGTTCATGAGGTTTTGGTCAAACTTGCGTTAATAAGTAACGAGTTTAATTTCTCGTAATATGACGCGAATTAAGTGAAGAACAGGATGACCATGAAGTAAATATGTGTAGATGAACATATCCAATCCGTCTACATTTGCGTATGGATCCTGAGTGGAAAAATAAACTGCATATTGTGAAGTACTTAAATACTACCAACCAGAATTCATGTTCTTCATATGAAAACGAATTCTTGGAAACGTAAGCAACTTTTTGATTTTGCTAAAATGAGGTTTCGTGAGAGTTCATGAAATATTGATAAATGCAAATTACCGTAAATACTCTATTTATAGCCGGGTTTAAAGACATCACAAATCAAGCTACAATTACAAACCGGGTATAATTGGAGATCTTTGTGAATTTTTTTTCGGTTATACGTAACTTGAAGCACTGAAGAACAGGCATTAAACCAATGCCAGAATTACAGACAAGCTTATTAAATTTTTGAAAGTTGGCCTCAAGACCCGGCTATAAATAGAGTCTTTACGGTACATACGTATGTTAGGATAATTTCATTACCTACAATAAATGGATAAGTATACATATGTACATATGTATATGCGCGTGCATGCATGTACGTACATACATATTCTCTATGGGAAATATTGTTTTCATTGATTGCTGAGTGAGATAGGGTATGTATCTCAGAATTATTTTAATTGTGAAAACAGAAATATCGCTAAAAATTTGTGTAATTTGTGCTCAAAAATCGCATATGTATTTTCATCATGTGGATAAAATTATTAAAATAATATAATACGAAGGATAAATTCAAACGGACGTGCGTGGATACAGTTGCTTGATTTGCTAATCTATGTAGGTATGTGTTTATGTACATGTATGGGTTGTCTAAATATTAAAATGAAGGTGCACCACATTAACATGTCGATTTCCATTCAATATTCAATTTCCCGGACGACCGGTTTCACGTTTTATTTGTATCGTCAGGTCTGTATAGTATAAATATGTATATATACATGATTACGACAAAATATTCCATGAACTTGGAAAATTATACAAATATATAGGCATGTCTCGGGTACCGGGTAACTACCCGGACCCGGAAAACCCGGCACTTTTCTGGCTACCCGGTGAATACCGGGTAATTTTCAATACCCGGTTTACCCGACCGGGTACGTATCGAATTTATTATGATAATTAAAAAGTTTAAATTATTTTCAATTTATTTGGTTTCCCACTGCATAATTCATTCGGAATGAAGTAATTAACTTAATTTATTAACGCCTGATATGATCATAAGAATTAGGGATCGATTTTGGATTTTTGGGATTTAATTTTGAAGATAGAAATAGGTCGACAGTAAATATGTAAGTACGCTAAAGTTGAAAAATTTCCCCTGACCATTTAGAATCTAGCCCAAAAACGGAATTTGACTATCTATCTTGCTTGTCCTTCCACTTGTAGGTAAGGGGGCAATAATAATCAAAACCGGAAATGCGAGACAGTCTATTTAATTTCGCATTACGAAATTAAAGCCTTGTTTAAAGGATGCCTAGTTAGGGTAAGTTTGTATAATCAAAATTATTCTAATCAATACCTAAATATTTCTCGACTTTAAGGCAGAGTTCCTGATTATTTACTTATCCACGCCATTTTCTAGTTCAAACTCAATCAACGAAATCGATCTATCTACGAAAAGATTTATACCTAATTCTATGAGATTTCTAGAGTTGTAGATTTCAACTTATTACGCCAAGAAAGCACTGCAAATCATGATAATTCCATCAACATTTTGTTTGCACAGCATCAACAACATCCTGTTTGAGGGACGTAAGGACGAATCTAGAATTGTTCCCGTTCGATCTTAAAGCAAAGCTGATCACACACGATTGACAAGTTATGTATGCACTATGTTTCATGGTAAATTATTAATTATGCACTGTATTTAGTATTGACGAAATTTAATTCAAAAGGTTAAATCCATACAAAAACCTTTTAAAGGGTGCCCATTATATAGTTCTGTGGGGTCAATTTTTTGTGGGTCAATCTGACATGCAATCCTATCAATAAGCCATTACTGCATCCACCGAATAGTCCAACATGCTCTTCAGCACCCACATTTTCCTTTCCTTGCCCAAAATAAAGAGACGTGTCTCCCCCGCCCCCACATGCAACCCGATAGGTCGCAAACTTTTAATATTCCTCGTTAGAATCCTACCTTCCCGCCCTTGTCTCATATTCCCCATCCTTGCTCTAAACTTGGCCAATAAGTTTGCACTCTTTTCATGAACGTACGCCCCATACTCGCAAACTACCACGGCGACGTAGACACTGATGAAGAGGCCGATGAATTCGAGCGGGAGCTCCAGGGTGGGGAGCAGACGGACGATCACGTAGGCGAAGAAGACCGCACTAACGGTGACCATGAGTAAGGTGACGAAACAGGCGAGCTGATTGATCTGCGCGGGGATACCGTGGAGTAAGGTGACGTTTCGAAATACTTGGACGTCTCGGTGGTCAACAGTCTAAAATAAAAATGTAAATTTTTAACCAAGGTTAAATTAAAAGGATGGCATAACAATTGAGTAATATTTACTCAATTAGTTGAGTAGAATTTACTCGGGGGTTAGTACATAGAATTTATTTAGGGTTGAGAAGAATTTAGTTAATTGAGTTAAATTTACTCAATATTTGGCAAAATACCGGATGACATAACAATTTGGTAACATTAACTCAAGGTTGAGTAGAATTTAGTCAAAAGTTACTCAACTCTGAGAAAAACTAAAGGGTCATCGGACAATTTTGTTAATTCAGCCTTCCCACTCTTTTCAAATTGTTGTTTTACCCCCCTGCATTTTACTCAATTCGGAGTTCATATATTTACTCTACGTTAAGTAAATTTTACTCATCTTTAAATATGTACATATTCCAAATAAAATTTTACGTTAAGCTCGGCGCTGGTGTCGCAAAAGTCAATCAAGTTCCTGAATAGGGGGACGCCCATGAAGGCCAGTACTGCGACCAGAATGAATCCGCGGACCACGTCGATCGCGGTGAGGTAGACCGTGACGAATCGTACCATTAATAGGGTCACGTTGAGTAACGCGGTATTTTCGAATGCCAGCCAGCGTAAGAGGTTATATGAGGCCGGAAAGGTTTCGAACGTCCAGGAGAGGACGGCATACGTCGGGTCCATATTTAGCAGGGTGCACACAAAAATGATGACACCGTACATCGTCAAGCCCCAGCAAACTATGATGTGTAAAATATAGTCGAGAAGTGTTGGACGACGGGTGGCGCTGAGTTGTTGAGCGGGAACGGCTAAATTTTAAGTGGGAATAATATAACCGCCATGGATTTTTAATCTTGCTGTGCCCCCATAAATTTTATTAATAATGTGGCCATATTATTTCTAACAGAGGAGCGATATAAGGCATTTCACTTAACGTTACATAATTTGGTCCTGCATAATTTTTAATCGCACTACACCCCGCAATGTCTTTGAATGGTAATTTCCAAAGTGATATCAATTTTTTAACGAGTTTTCAGATAAATGCTACTTTGCTACGTTTTAATCTGAAGCTAATTTTTAGTACTAGAAAATTTCTGATTTAGAAAAATGTTGAATTCGTTTTTTGAGGAAATTTATTCTAAATACATACATACATAAATTAATTAGTACTTTTAAAATCGATAATATGAAAAACTGATTTGACAATGTAGTACACTCTTAGCAACTTGGTAAAGAATTCCTAATAAGCGTCTTTACCGAGCTCTTGGTAATAACGCGTCCTACAAAAATTATACGGGATTATTACCGTATCAATATCAAACGGGTAACTAGCCTTCCACCGCAATGTTTTAAGTTATGTTTATAATTTTGGTAATAAATTCCTACGAGCCGGTAATTATATCCTACAAATTTAGATAACACTCTTTACCATAATTTTAATAAAGTGTAGTACAAATTGTTTCCTTTGTGGTGCTGATGAGATCTACATTTTGGTGTAGTTTATTACCATGGAGGTAAGAATTTTAATACATTTGGTGTGAAATGTGAGACGCTAAACAGTGCGCATTTCTCAGTTTTAGTTTCCGCTCAGCTCAACTCAAGTCAACACGGCGAACCAATTCTGCCCGTGGGATAAAAATTGAAAAACTTCTGGAAATTATATATAATTGTTGGAAACAGGTGAGTATCAAATTATCATATGTAGGTGCCTTATCAAGATGGTGATCATCGAACGAGTAAATAATAATCTTATGCATTTATTTTTTCAGTGAAACAAAAATTCAAGTTGGAAATCGGAGCAGGTATTTTTCTGCAAGACGATCAGGAGGCGTAGATCGACTTTATTTTTAGTTTAAAGTTAAATACTCGGATTCTATGTTTGGTATTGCTAAAGTGAAAGATTTATATATACATGATTACTTTGAAACAATGCAAAATTATAAAACAGTTGTTAATTATATAAGTGTACGGCAAAAGCTATAAAATATTTAGTTCGATTTAAATTTCATGTAAATATGTATGTATGTATGTATATAACTCAATAGTTTGCATTATTCTTAAGTTTTGTAATTATGTATTATATGTCAAAATTATTTTACAATAAATATAATTTAATG